ATTTTAAATTAAATAAAATTTTATAATTAATAATTAATTAATTATTATTTATTAAAATATTATTTATTACTTTATATCATGTAAAGCTAGCATAACATGCCGACATGATAAAATAGATGATTATGTGACATGATGATATAGTTATGTGGCATTTTTACTTTTTATTAGTGTTACATAAGTATAAAATGGTAAATGATATTTTAATTTTTGATGATTAATCAATTATTAAGATTTATTTCATTTAAATTAAAAGTATAATGGACTGAATAAATGTAAAAAAAATTATTTAAAATTTTTTAAATAATTTAGAGATTCTTCTAAGTATTATGATAGAATTTTTACAATATTTAAGAAAAAATAAAAAAAGGAAAACTTCAAAAGAATTTATTGAGGTAAGTTCTATCTCCCTGCTAATCAAGACTAGCTTCAAATTTAAATGTTGGTGCTCATTTTTTGGTAAAATAAAAAAATTTCATTAAAAGGATTAAAGAAAATTATTATTTCATAAATAACATGATCAATATAATAAAAATAAGTAAAAACTAATCAACAGACAATAAAAAGATAGCAGGTTGAAAGCAGTTATGGATTCTAACTTCACATCAAAAAAAGCATCCTTCCTAAGAAAAATTAAAAAGAAAACAAGTTTGGCCATCATAATTGTTAATATGACATGTGCATGATTGAATATCTCTTCTTCTGTGTGAGGACGAGCACCAGAATTAACATTAGACAACTAATGTTGTCGATTATGCTAAAGAACCCTAAGTCTTAGAATTTAATATGATAAAGATAGTATTTATTTATACAAATAATAGATAAAATAAATTTGTTATAAATATAAAATATCAATAAAGAGACTACTAATTATAAATACTTGATTTTAGTTAACATTTTATTATTATTTTTTAAGTATTGTTTTGCAAATAAGAAAAAGTATAGAACAATTATGTCACGGAACGTTAAGAGAATTTGTTTTTTTCTATAACAATTTTATTATTTGACCATAAAGATTTCAAGTTCTTCTTACGTAACTTGTAATACTTCTTTTGCTTGTATTTATGAGGTGTATTGCATTTTGAAAAAAAAGTAAGAAAATTTTGATGTCGATTTACGAGTTATGACAAATTTTAAGTTCTTTTTATGAGGTAATTAATGGATCGAGTTATTCGTTATAATTTACAAATTTGATCTATTTCGAGTCGAATTGGAATATAATTTTTTAAATCTAAATTCAAATTAAACGAATTAAATTTTTTTAATAAATATTATATTTTTGTTTAATTCTATTATAAAATTAATTTAAAGATATTAAAATGTTAACCCATAATTTTATTATTTTAAAAAAATAATTAATATGCAAATCTAGTAAACTTTCGAGTCTAAATTTTAAAAACGAAAATCCCACTAAATTTGACTAATGAACACCTATTATATACTTTTTTAAGGAAAAAAACATACTAGGTAATAAAAATAAATGAACCTTTTAAAAAAAAAGTACTTAGTAATAAATTTGTTTTAAGAAAAATAGAATAAACTAGGTGTCCTAAATGTCTGGAAAATGGAATCTGCAATTTTCCTGGAAAATATGAATTTATTTTAGATTTCTCTCCTTCCTGTGCATAAGGAGGTGGGCAAAGGGAAAGGCTGTAGGCTCCAGACCATTCCCCTTGTCACTCCATTGCATATATAAAATAACAGAAACGTGAAGCCTCTTCTTTTCCCAGGAAACAAACAGAACAGATAAAAAAAAAAAGTTAAAAAAATAACCACAACGAGTCAACGACCAGTTCCTAAAGGAAAAAGGAAAAATCAAACCCCAGTCCAGGGCCTCCAATAATACTCCAAACCCGAAACCTTACAGAGAGAAAGGAAGGACCTTTCAGATATTTTCTGGATCTTTCTCTGTAGAATCTGCCTTATTTAATCTATTTCTCTAAAAAATCCTTCCCCTTTTCACTTCTCAAGGTAAGTTCCTTCTTCATTTCTCCATCTATATAATCATCTATGTAATTTATTGTTTAATTATTCGAAAGTTATTTCTGTGTGATGCTGGCTTTTTTTTGGTTTGTAGGATCTTTGGCCTTAAATTTATTGTAATTTCTTGCAGATCTGGTGAAATTCAATCTGGGTGTTTTGCAAATTAATTCCCTGTTTGGGGGTTTTCGTGGTAATTTAGGAATCTTTGTCTTCTTGGGTTGTTATTGGTTGAAATAGAAATTAGTTTTTTTTTTGTTGGTTTTTCAAGTGATGTCTTTGTTGCCAAAGAGCGATTCAATCCAAATCCGTGAGGTCTGGAACGATAACCTTGAGGAAGAATTCGCTTTGATCCGTGAAATAGTTGATGACTACCCCTACGTTGCCATGGACACTGAGTTTCCCGGCGTTGTGTTGCGTCCCCTGGGCAATTTTAAGTACATCTGTGACTATAACTACCAAACTTTGAAAGACAATGTCGATATGTTAAAGTTGATTCAATTGGGTCTTACATTTTCCGACGAGGAAGGAAACTTGCCTACTTGTGGAACTGATAAGTATTGCATTTGGCAATTCAATTTCCGGGAGTTTAATGTCAATGAGGATGTGTTTGCTAATGATTCTATTGAGCTTTTGAGGCAAAGTGGGATTGATTTCAAGAAAAACAATGAGAAGGGTATTGATGCAATGAACTTTGGTGAGCTTTTGATGTCTTCAGGGATCGTTTTGAATGATAGTGTGCATTGGGTTACTTTCCATAGTGGTTATGATTTCGGGTACTTGCTTAAGCTTTTGACTTGCCAGAATTTGCCGGATACGCAAGTTGGGTTCTTTAGTTTGATTAATATTTACTTTCCTACTCTCTATGATATCAAGCATTTGATGAAGTTCTGCAATAGTCTGTACGGTGGATTGAACAAGCTTGCAGAGTTGTTGGAAGTAGAAAGAGTTGGGATTTGTCATCAAGCGGGTTCAGATAGTTTGCTCACATCTTGTACATTCAGGAAATTGAAAGAGAATTTCTTTAGTGGTTCTTTGGAAAAGTATTCCGGTGTGTTGTACGGTTTAGGTGTTGAGAATGGACAGAGTACCCATTGAAATGAAAAGCAATAAAAACCAAAAAAGGTTTGGACAACTGCTTGTTTGTCTGTACTGAGTGTGCTTCATACCCACACTTCAATGTACACTGTTGGCAACAATTTTCGTAATTTATGAATATTTTCTTTTGCTTATTGTTCTCTTTGTCCTTGCTGTTACCGCGTTACAAAGCTTTATGTTCCATGTATCTGTCAAGTGTCAAGTGGTGCATTTATGTTCATATATTATGTGATTGCAAATTGGGAAAATGATGGAATATAATCTTGATGGTTATATTTCTTACCATGAATGAACACAGCATTTACACCATCGCCATCTGTGAGCAGCTTCTGAAATGTGACTGCACGACCCTAACAAAATGCAATTACTTTTTAGGGTATTTAATGGTTGACGTCCATTTCTAGTAAGTGTTAGAATGTTATCATCCTTTTCTTAATTACCCTGTTTTCGTATCTATCATATTGTCTAGAATTAGATTCAAAGAGTTTATTGTGTTTGGATGTTAGCACCAGATAGAGTTCTACTTATTTGATGTTGAGTGCTGCTTTAAAATTTGAAAAGGCTTTTGCAGCCTTTGATGTGGCCGATAGTCGTCACAACATTGAGCTATTGATGGGAGAGATGGGGTGCCCAACGAAAACGATTGGGCAAATGTGAGGAGAATTTATCTTTTCTCGCAACAATTGATTTGTCAGTAAAGATTTCAGGTTCTTATGTAACTAAAGGAGAAAAATTTTCGACATATGGGAGATATAGAATGGAAAGTGACAGAGAGCACGAAAAAACAAAATTAGATAAATATTTATCTGATGACTTTAATGTTCTTATGTGATGTAAACTCGATAGTCATGTTTCTTATACTTTTCGATAATGCTCATGATGTATTGGTAATCCTCGTATCAACACTTTTAATAGTCGATACGTATAGGACTCCTAAGTTCGTGTAAACATTTGTTTGTTCTCAAGATTGACTCATGTTTTGATTCGAAAGACATTGAGTATGCTATAAAAGAGCTCGAGAAAGTTGATTCAGGTAATTATTTTATTTATTGTTGATACTTTGTTCATTTGATTTTCTCAATTTTAACTCTTACGTTTCTTTAGTTCTTTATTTAAAAGTTAATTTATCATTTTTTAATATATTTTTTAGATTTGTTGAAGAATTGAATAATATATTCTTTAGTTCTTTAGATAATGTTATTGTTAAGAATTATTCATATTTTTATTTATAATATATTTGGGTTATTTTAACCCATTAATTTACATTAATTATAATATTTTTCTTTAACATTTTAGAGACATGCTCATATGAGATATTAAGTGATTGATGGATTCGAAATCGTCGAATCAAATGTACATGTGAGGTTTTTGTATGAATATATTATAAATATGTATAATTATTTTTTTTATTCATTTGAAATTTTTGTTGTTTTGATTATGATTTATAAATAAGCTAATTTAATTGTTGTGAAATATTAAAATAATATTTTTTAATAAATTAATTGGTTAGCAATTGAGCAACCGATCCAAACCGACTGAATATAACCAGTTTCAGTTATCTCCTGTTCCGACTCGTGGGTCAATCGGTTTTGGTTGCTCCCCATATGATGTCAGTTAGATAGGTTTCGGAGCACCGACGGAGACTGCCCCCCCTTATGGTGGGATCTGTATTGGCAAAATTGGCCATAATTAAAAAAAAAAAAAAGAGAAAAGGACAAAAATTATATCCTGCCGACCCTGTGGTTCATGAAGAGTATGTAGCAATATAACAAAGAAAGAACGCCATAAAGTGTAGTTGTTATCTCATGTTACCTGAGCGTGAGATAGCAAAGCCAATTAAGCAGCTTGTCCTTGAGAGTGAACATGCTGTATTGAGTGTTGTGGTCTCACCCAACTCCCATGAAAAAGGATGTGATTGGAACAGATTCTGCCAACTGAATTTCATGCATACGCCATTCATGAAAAAGTCATAGCATTTTTTAGATAGATGAACATAAACAACTACCATGCTGATAATGATTTGAATAAAAAGAAAGGATTGCAGATCTAGACTGCGCAGTCACCGAGAATATTTCCCAACTAAAATACTAACAACTCTTTAAGTTCAGGATTCATCAGGCGGCTGAAAATACAATTGACCGATCAAGCAATATGGTGCAGCTCCGTAGGCATATTATCCCAGTAGATTAGTCAGATCCTGAACTCTTGAAGTTTCATTGGATCCTGTGTCATCCGGCAATTTAAATATATCAGTAAACAGTTCAAACATGAAACGTTAAGCAAGCTAAGCGCAGGTGCAATACCATGCCTGTAATGTTCCATTGATAATTTCAACTCAACAGCTAATATATGCTATGTTTCGATGTAATTTTGTTTTTGTCACAGTATGAAGTATCAAGAATAAGGACCAAAGACTAGGGAAGGTAAAGAACATAAATAAAATTGCAGAAGACCTACAGTCTCAAGAAGGCGACAAATGTCAAATAAAATCATAAACAACTGCCTTAAAGTACTAATTCACAAACCAAAACTCCTGCAAATCATGACAGAAGAACATGGAAAAGGTAATGAATGAATTATTTGCCTCAAAATGGTCCGTAAATACAAACCTTTGCCTCAAGTCCTCTTGCGCTTTGCTGTCTTGATGTTCTTAACAATATAATTAATGACTTCCTTTAGCGTGGCTTTCCTGTTTTCCTTGAAGTTCCAGAGCTCAGAAATAACATATCTCCCACTGGGATTATACTCATTTAATTCTTTAAAAGCTGTTACCACTGCCTCATAAATCTCTTCACCCCATTCCTGCTTTAGATTTCGTAGTTTCTCATCTTCTTCATTTATGATTTCCTGCACCACACACAACATTATTGAGCACTCAGTTAGTCATTGATATTCTTTCTCAACGGCAATAGCCATCTTTTTTACCCAAGGGGCCCCCAACAGAAAAGAAAAGGTTGAATATCTGGGACATCCTTTTAACAAGTTATTTATGCAAAAGAACTCATCAAAAAATTTTGCAGAAATCATGTGCTAAACGGTGAAAGAGGCCATCTTTATATCCATAATTCACAGTAATGAAAAGGCAATATCAAAGAGGCTCTAGAGCACTTACAACTTCTGATTCTTAAGCAAATAAAAAAGGAAAATCATCCACTTCATTCTCCATGTGACACCAGAGATAGTATTTGCACTATTTCTATATTTCAAGCAAAATTTGATCTAGGCCTAGGACCAATTAAAATATACTGATGACTATTTGACTTAGGTTGCCATATGGATAATATGCAAACAGTGTACCTTGTGATTCCCTCCCTCATTTATAATTTTGAATGGATGCCACTCTGGATTCTTTAGATTCTCCTGCCACAACGAGCATAGGGTAGTGGCCTGTACTGCTGCTTCATCAGGTGAAAATCGCAACTTACAAGTGTTTTGGAAAGCTTTTTCATCAAGCTCTCCCATTCTCTTTAATCCAATATTAACTCGAGCACCCAACAACTCTCGCAAACCCTAAAGAGAAGAATTAGAATATAGGTTCCATGATCAGTTGCATGAATCTACATAGTATTCTGTGCCCTGGGCAAATATAATTCATTCCTAAGCCAAGAAAAAACAGGGAGTACCTGAATTAACACTTTCCGTGATTCTTGTAGCTCATCGTTGCTCTGGCGCTCTTTGACTATAAGAGCTTGGTTTGTCGATTCCATATCTTGCAGATCCTCAATCTTTTCTTTCAACTCATTATTCATCTCTTCCATCTTCTTCTGTACAACTGCATCATCTTGTCCAAGATGCTTCATCACCTGCAGCTTCCCTTTCAACTCTTCAATTTCCATTTCCAACTTCTGCTTAACATCCAGCTGTTTTTCCAACTGAAGTATCTTTTTCAGGGCCTCTTCTTTCTCCCTCTGGAAATTAAAAATCCCCATTAAAAGAATACGTGAAATAACTATAAAGTGCAAAATACAATGTGCTACGTTATAATAAATTACTATGTTAAGCACCTTTTGCTCTTCAACCAGTCTTAACACATTCTCATCAGCCTTTTTCTGCTCCATAGAAGCCAACTGAAGTGAATTGTTTCTTTCATTATTCTGGAAAGACAAAAGACAATGTCAGTGACAGGTGCTGTTATGCATAAATTAAGCAACTGATTTTCTCCTAGAGCAGTTCAGACATTTATTGCTAATGTAGCCTTAATTTTAGTATATAAGTCAGTACTAGCAGCTTTTGCCACACAAAAATTAAAACCTATGAGTAGTACCCTGTATAAAAAGACTATACATGTTGATAGGTTTTGTTAGGATGAAGCAACAGTACACTCGGCATGATATGCTACAAGATAATGAATATGTATTTAACCATATTGAAGATAATCTCATTCAGAACTAGAACTGACATGAAATTGCAACGGAAAAACAGAAAAAAAGATAGCTTGGTAATAAGCATGTAATTAATTGGCCAACAGTTCTTAAAAAATGTGAAGGCTAGGTGGCTTGCAAGGAAAGACAGGTTACTTTCTTCTTGTCTTCATCAAGTTTTTGCCTCTCACGCTCAGTTAGTGCCTCACGTTTGTTCAACTCCTTGCTCCAATAGTCAATTTTCCTTTTCTTTGTTTCCAATTCATAATTCAGCTTTTCCTGTTCTTCCAAGATCCTTCGAACATTATCTCGAGCAAGCCTCTGCATCTTCCTCGTCTCTGATGAACAATTAAAACACAAAAATACTATTGATTCATGTCTTATTTCAAGCCTGATAATTTTAAGCCATCTGTGAATGACAATTCTGATTTTATAATCATAATATATTAAATGAGTCCATGAATGTACTTCAAAACCCAAACAGCAATCTAGATGTCTATCTGATTGGCACATGGCCATTAGCTTCACAAACCATTCAGAGATTATGAATAAACTTTTAAATCTACTCTGTAAGAATAAAACATAAAGCCATAATTTGATTTATTACATCAAGAAGAGAAGGCCATGGTTTTTAAAAAAAAAAAAAAAAAGAAGAGGAGGCCAAGTGTAGCAAATTAAGTCCAATACTTAAGAAAGCCATTTGAATTTAAAAATGATGCGTGTCACATTGTTAACAAAAGCTTGGCAAACTTTTAACATTCTGAAAGCGTTTACAACCAACTAAACATGCGAAGTGCAAGTGTATACATGAAAAAAGACACAAAAAGGTCAAGACAAAGAAACTGGACAGACCTTCAATAAAGGCAAGGTGTAGCTTATCTTTCTCTTCAAGCATTCTGCTTAAGGACATAGTCGTCTCATTGTATTTGTACTGTAATTCTTCCAAATTTTCATTTGTCAAGTCAATTCTTGTGGCCAAGTTTGCCACAACATTATTCCTATCCTGAGCAGTTTCTTGGACAATGTCAGAAATGGTTCTTAATTTTCCCACCTTGCGAAGATACTCCCCTATTGGCCCGTCAGAATGGTAGTCATCAGCACGTGCACACCAACCATAAATGTTTGAACCAAGATGTGTTCGTTTCTCATTCCAATGTTTTTTACTGTGATGCTCAGTTACAAAAACTTTCTCAAACTCCGTTGCGTTCATGAATCCATTCCAATCATTATTGAATTTCAGTATGGCTTGTCCAGTCAGATCTTGCTCATTCCAGAAACTTTGAACTTCTAAAGGTTTGTATTTAGCAAACTTCTTCAACCAGTACCCTTGATCATGCAATGCATTTTTATCCTTTGACTCAGCTACTATGTTAAGAATTATTCCCATCCAAGGCCAAACATAGAGATCATTTTGCTCGGGAGTTTGGTTAACAGCTCGTGGTACAGCTGGACGCATGGTCTGATCTGCTTCACTAGCTAGGTCAATTTCCAAATACTTTGCCAAGGCCAGGTGGTTGGCCTTCTGTATTGCACTTCTGTTGGCAGATCCTTTGCCCACTCCAGAGGCATGTTGAAGCAAATCCTTGTACTTGTAGTCTTGTTTCTTCTTCCCAGCACAAAAGGGGCATCTTAAGCTACCATTTAAGGCCTTTACTTGGTACTTCCCAGATTTAAGCTGTTCATAAGGCTTCTCCATGTAGTCATTAATCTCAGACTCGCTAAGATCTGACTCTTCGCCAGAACTGGAATCCATCTGATCAGTCTACATTTTAAAAAATGTTAATACTAACAATAATACATGGCTGAAATCATGACCAAAATAGCCTTTTTATGAGTAGCAAACTCCAGAAATTGGGATAAAGAAAAAGGCCTCATCATTGAACATGATTATGCCACGAAAAATACCATTGGGCACACTAAAACGTAGAAGAAAAGGCATACTTTAGAAATTAACTGATCAAAATACTAAAAAAACAGCAAATGTAACTAAATAGCTCCCTAGTACAACTTATGCAATAGTTAACATGGAAGGGATATCACTTCATTATATTGCATAATGTGAGGTCAAACCAAAAGTAAAAAACAGAAGATCATTTTCCGAGGCATACTTCAAGATTAAAATTGAGCTTTAAGATATATGCTAAATGAAGGGAGCAAAAAACAGCAACAAAAAATGATTATTAAAGCAGCAAATCAGCATAAAAAAAAATTAAAAAGCAGAAACTTGAAACCACCAAAGATTTATGTAAGTAGCAGAAAAGAGACTATAATATGTTTAAGCATATAAAGAATGATATGCACAAAACTTCACTAACAAAAATGGGTTTTCTTTCATTCTTCAGTCACACTAACCAGACTTTCAAAGTCAAAATTTCCAAGTTTAACACTTATCCATTTACACATCTTTTTGCAATTAGACTAACTAATGTTGACATCCTTTCAAGAAAAATGAAAAGGGGGTTACTTTACAAAAATTGCTTTCAACACTAAGTCCTATTAAAAGTTTCCCTATATTTTTATTTATTATTCAATTATAATTTCCAGAGTAAGAAATTTTCCACATATTCCATAAATTTCTGAAAATCCACAACATTAACCCATTTCGAAAAAGAAAAGTTTAACAGCTAGGTTAGTAAACTTTCCACTTGATATCTTCAAAAGGAAAACAAACAATAAAGATCCTTCGTCGCACTGATTATTTATTAACAAAAATTGCAGGACATGCAAAGATAATTACATATCTGAAGCTGCATTATACACACTAAACAATAGCTTAAGCCACATTTTCTTTCGACAAAATGATAGATAAAAAGAAACTCACAAATTAAGGAAAAAAATTCCAAAAGTCAGATTTGGAGAGAGAGAGAACTGACGTTAATTTGTTTGAAGAGAAAGCTTCTTCGCTGATTTGTTCCCTTCTTTCCTTCTCTTGCTGAGTAATTTTGATACTTGGGCTCTGCGGAGTGGGAACTGAGTCAATTGCGAGCCCTGAAAATGTCCTTTCGTATTTTCTGTCTTCACTTCTGTTTTATGCTTTTGAATATTGGAGAGTGGGGTGATCGAGTGAATCGAAGTTCGTGGAGTCCAGACGCGTGGCTGTGTTTTATTGGTTTCTTGGCATTGGGTTCTGCTGTTGCTCTGAAGTGTGAGAGCGGAATTGCGAGGTCATTTTTTGTAATTAATATATTTTTTAAATTAACAAGAATAATGCATCAAATGAAAAAAAAATTTAAAAATAAAATTTTGAATAATCTAATAACCTTAAAAAATATTTATAAACACTCATTATCCATCCAAAATTTCATAAACATTATTTGACAACGTGAAATTCTTTAGCAATTCATTGAAGACTAATGAAATTTTATTTGATAATCAAACAATTTAATTTCTCAAAAAAGGTATAATAATAATAAATATTAGATTTATACATATGCATTTGTTATCGATAAAATTGTAAGTTATGGAACATCTAAGTGTCACCTACTCGCATTTTTAACCTAAAAGATACATTTATTAAATAAAAAAAGATTCTTATTTATAAATTTAAATTAATTTCATCTCTTACTAATAGTTCTTTCACCTATAAAAAAAATAAACTATATTTTAGTTCGGGTCTATCTCGATCTTGATATATCTCATAAAATTCTTATTTCAATGAAAAGTTAGATCAATTTTAATATCACTTATCACAAACTTATATTTTTAATTTAAAAAATATATTTATTAAATATAAAAACTTTATATAAATTCAAAATATATCTTATTTTTTACCGATTCAAAATAAATAACACATAAACCTTGATCTGCTTAAGTTCCATTTGAGCCCAATGGGGACAATCCCACACATTTTCTTGCTAGCCCAAAGCCAAGACCAAGGCTAACCAAACCTAGACCCAAGTAAGGAGAATTTACATCCCAAGTTGTACAGACTCACTTCACTAATTCACTACTATACAATGAAAACGAATTCATGCATTATCACTTTTATCTTCATTAATTAAATTAAAATGTTGAACAAGAATTTAATTATTATATATGTCAAATTATTTTTTAATTTCTGTTTTAAAATTTTTTATTATAATTATTAATATTAAAAAAAATCATAAATTTTAATATTTGATACGCGAGATCAAAAAAATTAATTATATAAAAAAATTCATAAATTTTTATGTGGAGGCACGAAATCAAAACTAATTAAATATATTAAAAACTAATATAATAATCATTGATTCAGAAATTTGATCCTTAGACTTAAAGCCTCAATAGAGTACCAAGAAATTGGATTTGGGTAACAAGTAGATGACAAATTGTGATCACTCATTAGTTGTAAACGACCTAAACAACGCAAAACAAGAAGAAAAAAGCAAAAGGGTAATTGATAATAAAGATGTTGAATCTCTTTTAGTAAGAAATTCTACAATCTTCCAAGCATGTGAATCAATCAGTGCAATGTGAGATCAGATCATTATCATCTTCAGCATCATCATCATATAGAATGGTAAGAAGAAATCAGAACCGGTGCTTTCCATGCTTATCTATTGCCAAAACCATAATGATTAAAAGAAAGCTAACTGGTGGCCATGATTTCTTATGGACAGTACGAGAATTTAATTCTGGCCTCATGTTGAACTGCTTGCCATCATTTCCATAAATTTTGGCTTTCTAACCATAATTAAAAAATGGGAAAAGTTTCATTGCTCCTCATCATATTCATGTAAAATTCAAAGTTGTAATCTTTTAAGGAAGATCTAGATTTGATGTGACCAACCATGATCATTATTAATAGCACAGACGAAAGAAAATTGGCTTGGCTTGGCAACGTGGAATCATATCAAGCAAAGTAGTGAATGGGGACAATCGAGATCCTTTGGTCTTAAAAGTTGACATTAAAGTTAAAAGAAACAATGCATATTCTTTTATGTTCTTAAAGGCTAATGATTAATATAATATTTTATCATTTTTTCATTAATTCGACCGAAATTAAGTTAATATTCATTTCTACTAATATATATATATATATATATATATATCAAATACTGTAATATTATCATCTCAATAATTATATTTTTAATACAACACCAAATGTCATCATAAAAGCAAGAATACTTTGATGAATTGAGTGTTTTCTTTGCTCATTTATGAAATAATTGGGTCTAAACGATGTAATTTCATCGATTTTGTTTCACCTCTCTCACTTCAATTGTTCATTTATTTGGTTTTCTTTCACCTTCTCATTTTGCTTCCTATGGAATGCAATGCAAGTGATGTATAATATTGATGCTGTGAAGGGCAAATGACATGAAAGAATAGGCTTTTAGTTTCCATTTATCAATGGATATACATCGAGTAACATTGTCGGGTGTCCGGAAAGAAAGTTTGTTCCCACAATCTTCCAAGCATGTGCACTATGGGAGCATGTATAACTTAGCTGTGGAAAAGGCAGGGTTAAATGGTTTTCTCTTTACAGAGTTTTGATTTGATAGGGCCACCTAGAGTCACGACGTACTTTAAAAAGTGATGACTTCTTGCTACAATACAAAAACAAACCCAATCATCCTATATTTTAAACCAATGTTATTAGTTTAATGATCTTTATTTAATGAAAAAGGTGGTGTTGGCAAGACAATAACGTGGGTTGAATAACCAACAATGTTTTTATAACTACTTTATCTCATTAAAGAAAGTAGGGTCCTTTATTTGTTTAAAATATGTTTATATGATTTCTATAGGCATAATTTTATGTTAAATTAATACAGACAGTTAGGATGGAAAAGAATAAGACATGTGCCCACTTGATTTTTTTTACCATGAAAATAATAAATTAAATAAGTTTTATTTTTTAAGTTCAATCAAATTTTTATATTTATATTTTAGATCAAATAAATCTTTATAATTAATATTGACTTGTTATGATGAAAATTGGGATTGTCATGTAACTATATTAACATGTTGCATCAACATGCAACATCGGTATTGATTATAACAACTCAACGTGTCATATCAGCATTACATAAATATAAAATGACAAGAGTAATTACAATTATTCAATTATTAATTATACTGATTTATTTAACTCAAGATAAAAATATAAAAACTTAATTAAACACAATAAAAGAATAAAAACTTATTTAAATTTTTTTGAATAGTTTTGAAAATTTTTTAAATATTATATCAAATATAAATGATAACTTTGGATCACCCATAAGTAAAGTGGTAAATTTGCATCTTATCCTATAAATTTAATATATGATTTAGTTATATGTAAAATTATTTAATAAAAAGGAAATATTCTTAGTAAAAAAAACAAAAAAAGGAAAAATTAAAATTTAAATATAACAATTAGGTCATTTTTCATCATTTAAGTTTTTGAAATAATCGATCATCTAACTTGACATGATTTTTAAAGCATCTCATTTATTATCCCATGCTTCTTATATATAAGTGATAACATGGTGTGATTCTTATGTACAAGGGGAGTATTTAATTTTTTTTATTGACACTAAAATAAATCTCACGTCAGGTAATTAAGGTTGAGGTATTTTGAATACTACAATATAATAGTAGTTGCTATATGATTAAGTTGAATATTTGTCTTAAAAATTAATACTATTTTACATTTTATTATATACAGAAAATTAGAGAAAATTGGGAAGAGAATGGAATCGATTAATGAAATGAAAGGAAAAGAAAATAAAACCTCAATAAAAAGAAAATTCAGTGTTCATGCACTTCACTTTCATTGTGCGAGACAAAATGATGAACCATGCATGCCTCCTTAGTTTCTTGTTTGAAGCATATCACAATCCACAATTAAATGGATTCCTTTTCTCATTTTCTTCCCCTTTTTTTAATTCCATCATGACTTCATTGAATCCAGAATGCATTTCACCAAGTTTTAATTAATTTCCGAATGGAGATTTCTACCTAAAAATTTTCATATGTTTGTTTTTTTTTTTCCTTACAAAATCTCATGTTAATCATGTTCCTAGAGATGTGACATCATTTTTTGCTAGCCATTGACTTACCTAATGAGCACGATCTTTTGTTTTTTTTTTTCTTTCTTCGGGTTTGGATATTAATTATGATATTTATAGGATATATTATATGAGGAACCACTTCACCCTTTGTTAATTGGTTTTAAACTATGTGATTATCTTAAAAATATAACATGGTATTAGAGCAGATATTACTTTTTATGTTGTCTATTCTGTCACATGATTGATTCGTTGTCTTTACACGTGAGAGCAAGCATTAAAACGATGGTAAAAAAATCTCACATCTATTAAGCTGAGAGTATCTTGGACACTTATAAATATAACAAGAGTCAATCCTTCTGTTGTCAATTAATTTTAGATAGGACATCTGTTTTAAAAAATTAACATATATATTATGAAAAAGAAACTATCAAAAATAGATAAATAAACAAGTAATTATGATAAATGGAAAAATTCTGGGGCCTCTCACGCACATGGAACCTATACACATGGCTTGTGGGGAAGAGGATTTGCTTCTAAACTTATTACCTCAATCACAAATGAGGCGCCAATATTACTGTTATTGATGCCTTCAAAGCATCTCTATTTAACCAAAGGTATAACATCTCTTGCTTGGTGTGGACATAAGTGTGAGGCTGGTGTCACTAAAAATGACATCCAATAGAAGAAAAAGGAGCAAAAATCTCTTGACCAGGCAAGGGAACCCAAGAGAAGAGTTCAAAAGCAGAGGAAGGGCTAAGCTAATAAGAAATTAAGCCATGGACGTCCACAAGAAAAAAGAGAATATATGCCACCTACTGATATTCCTCCTTAAACCCTCAGTTTTAGAGTCCTTTCATATTGTTCCACCTATGATTTGATGTTCCACTTCATCTATGATATAGTTGGTTAGCTGTGATCAAACATTTTATATCTTCATTCATTCTTTTTCTTTTGTATTCCCGCCATACAATTAATGCATTCGTATGGTTCCCCATGCTCTCATGGAAATGCAAGTACTGTATCCTTATACCATTGCTGAATGCCTTTGTTTCTTTCACAGGCCATGTTCACTTGCTCAAAGATGTGGGGAAATTCCATAGTTTATGGTAATGCATTTACAAACAGTTTCCTTTCATATCATAACCTTTGAAATGAAATGAAATGAAATGAAACACCACCCTAGCTTTCATCCTTTGGAAATCAAAAAAGGGTCTTTACCAATTCCTCTCACCGCCCAAAGGAATACCACTGAGGATCAGACTGATCTCTTACAGTGAAGAACATATTCCAAATTCATAACATGCATGCATGGATATGTTTCTCATAAAGATACCCTGCATTTAATCTATTTGCTTCTTATTCTCTGAAAACGAAGAAACAAAAAACAGCCTTTGGATTTCTCAAAGCTGTTATGGTATCAAACAAATAATAAAAATAAAGAAGTATATATAGATATATAGAAATTGGTTTTTGTCAATATTTTCTTCGAAACTAGCTAGGAAGTACTGTGGAAGCTTCAAAAGAAGCTAGATTAGCTTCATAATTTAATTCAGTTTGATGATGGGGATGTACTTAAAATAAAATTCCACCGAACCTGTTGAATATTTTAATGGTCCATTCTCAGAGATTCCCTGTAGCAATTACTTGATATTTTATGTTACTAGTTAATAGTGTTTTAGTAGTATGCTCGTGGTAAAACAGCCAATCACACATGAATCCCATAAGTGGGGAAACCAAGCAGCGATTATTGCTGTTAATTATCAGCCAATAGACCAAATCAGGCTGCTTAAAATTATGAAATGGACTGATCATAGAGTTAGCAAAAGGCTAGGCAGGGAATCTAACTAATAATGCCAAGATGAATCTGTATTAAGTCGGATTCAAATGATTTCATCTTTTAATTAGGAAGGGGTTGAGATTTGGTGGATGGATTTGGATGATCTCCAATGCATTGGAGAGTGCAATTTTCATTTCTTTTGTTCACAATGTCACTCATTAATTAGTTTATCCATGAACTCTGACAACATATTTAGTATTTTCTAATGAATCATTGAACTGTCCAAAAGATAGGAGATGAATCAAACCCCAAGGTTTAATTAGTAAGCTCTCAAAATGTGGAGCTTTGAGCCTATACTATGACAGCATATCTGATCTGTCTTTTTTTGTCAAGCAGACACCTAAGTAAGAAGCTAACTACAGTTGTCCAGTCCACTACGTAATCGAGTGAAGGCATGGAGTAGATAAAAAACCTGGTGAGTGGGAAAGACAGGAAATTCATTATTCATGTCTCATGTTAAAAGCCTCTTTCCAACTATCATCTACTGCAAGACTTATTCAATGTCCCACCCTCCACTACTTCCAGAGCTATACCCTTCTTTCTTTTCCCATCTCATTGTTTCAAGCACTAACTTAGTTCTTTCTCTCACTTATCTCTTGGGATTCTCCAAGTCAACTCCTTGCCTATAGTATAAATACCTGACATTAAGCTCATCTGTAGCATCCAAAACAAGAGACAAAGAAGTGCAGTAACTTAATTAAGCCTTCTCTTCTCCTCCTATTACATCAGTTATTATTAGTTTACGTTTGTTCTTTCGAGTTTGTTTTGAATAATTAGTGATATAAATGGAGAATGAGGATGTTCCATCTGCTCCTTCAACCCCAGCAACACCAGGGACTCCTGGCGCTCCTCTCTTTGGGGGGTTAAGGGTAGATCAGAGGGGTGGGATCAGTAGAAAATCCATTCTCAAGAGCTGCAGATGCTTCAGTGTGGAAGAATGGTCCATGGAAGAAGGGAGATTACCCTCTGTCTCTTGTTCATTGCCACCTCCTCCAGTCTCTCTCACAAGAAAGGTATGGAAAAGACACCAAGTTATAAGAAGAGATCTTTTACATTTAAAATTTATTTTAGTGAAAATTCTCAATGGCTTGATGAGCAAAGGAGATTTTGACTTGTTTGTGCTATTCTCTATGGCCTAGTCAAACAGATAAGTTTAAAATTCGACAACTAGAAATCAAAGCTGATCCAGTTTTCCATTTGTTATTACCAAAAGCAGGTGGGAGCTGAGTTCATAGGTACTCTCATACTAATCTTTGCTGGGACAGCCACAGCCATTGTGAACCAAAAGACACAAGGCTCTGAAACACTCATTGGCCTGGCTGGCTCCACCGGCCTTGCTGTCATGATTGTTATACTCTCCACAGGTCACATCTCGGGAGCACATCTCAATCCAGCAATCACCATTTCCTTTGCTGCACTCAAACACTTTCCCTGGAAACATGTAACCTCCAGGCTTTTTTTTTTTTGGTTTTATTAGAAACTTATATATATATATATATGTATATATATACATACATATACATATAACTAACAATTTGGGTTTTAATATGCAGGTACCAGTCTACATTGGAGCACAGGTAATGGCATCACTATGCGCTGCATTTGCACTTAAGGGAGTGTTTCACCCATTTTTGGGAGGGGGAGTCACAGTTCCTTCAGGGGGAATCGGTCAAGCTTTTGCTTTGGAGTTTGTTATTAGCTTCAATCTCATGTTTGTTGTCACTGCTGTGGCCACCGACACTAGAGCTGTAAGTGCCCTTTTTCCATGTGCTTTTCCAAGTTTGAAAGCAGCCCATCAAAGAGAGGAAACAACACCTATAAACTATTGAGGACACTAATGGACAAACACCCCTCTACAAGAGACCAGAGTCTCTTATAATTTACATTATTTTTTTCTTTTTTGTAAAAAAATTTTAAACTCCTGAGAGACAAGAGTCAATGAAGAGGTTTGCACCCTACAAAGCTCAATCTCCAATGAATCGAAATAAAACAAAAATGTAATAATAAATACAAGTTGTTCACATCACTGGAAATCATAGGTTAAGGTAGAGACATAATTAGATACTATTGCACCCATGTTGCCTCCATTTCAAAGGTGGTTAGGCATTGATTTTCACCTACTTTTGACTCACCAAATTTCACCGCATGAGACAAAATTATACTGCAGGGCATCACTATTCATGAAATATATTGTGGAAAGAACTGTAAATCGATGGTCAAGGAAGATGGATATGGGAATCTTGTAACGTGAGGGGTGACAATGTGCAGGTCGGAGAGCTGGCGGGAATCGCAGTTGGAGCTACTGTCATGCTCAACATACTCATAGCCGGGTATGCCACTGAAATCCTCTGTTATTATTATAATTATTATAATCCAGAAGATGAATCACGAGATTACTTGTAAAACAAGCAGAGTCATCTCAGTTCTGTTTTGACAAGGTTAAGAGCCATGTCTAGTGCTGCTAAGGATCCCAATCTTCTTTGGTCTTTGGCAACATCAGAAGTTGATTTATTAGTTGGGATTCAGCCATCCCAAGTAGGTTAGTGTTTATCCATAACTTTGCTTGAGGGGAGAGAGGAAGATCAAGGCTGTAAGGAGACAATTAGCACATGTTTCACTGATCAAGAAATTAAAATAAATCTGTGACAACTAGATATTAAGAACTCTTGGACCATTTTCTTTTTCTCCAACAATTTTGACATAATCTAGGAAATATATAAATCAGACAGAAAATCTCAGTGAAACGTCTAATGGTCCGATTCTTCGTTCCAAGTATGAGAAATGGGTAGCATTTGGTAGATATTGTTTGACAAATCTTTGGTCATAGAGGCCACTGCCGTTGATCTTGGCATGGCAGCTTTGCCCTTCATGCAATAAGATGATATAGAGCTGTGATTTTGAATAGTCATCATGATTTATAACTTCGAATCTGCATAATCATCAGGGTTTTTAGCTGAGTGTATTCATTTTCAATTTAATAACAAATATGATAAGTATCTGCTAGAAATATATATAAAAGATCAAGTCAAACCAATTATGATATCAAAGACAACTCAGTGCCCACAATTATGAAACACCATCCAAGTTCCAAGCCACCCACCTCCCCTTTCTTCCTTTTCTTCTTTCTTTAAAAAAGTAATACTAATCAAGGGAGGGTAAAGGGACGAAGGGAAGAGAATCTATGAAAGCAACATTTGGGAAACAAAATACAGTTAAGGAAACAAATGAGTGGGATTGTAATTTGAGCTTTAAAAATTTCTACAGTACCTTCAACTATTAGAAATCTCAAAAAGAAAAAAGTAACCTTTCTCTTCTCTGTTCAATCCAGACCACAATGAGAATTTAGCGCTCTCAGTGCTAAGTACCTGATGAATTCCATGAGATGTTCCTTAGAAATCCTTTCTTTTGTGCTGTGGAACAGACCATTTACAGGTGCTTCGATGAATCCAGTAAGAACATTGGGACCAGCCATAGCAGCAAATAACTACAAAGCTATATGGGTCTACTTCACTGCTCCCATCCTGGGGGCACTATGTGGTGCAGGAACCTATACTGCTGTCAAACTGCCCGAGGAAGATGGTGAAAAGCCAGTAACCGTGAGGAGCTTCAGGAGGTAATTAGCATCCGTCAATGACCTGCACCATCCAGGACTTCGTGAGGAAACATTGCAGATGAACAGGGAGCAATTTCATAATTGTGACACATCGGTATTTGGATATAAATAAGTGAATTGTGTGTATCGATCATATATATATATATATATATATACATATATGTATAACAGTGTAGTCAAGCTATAGATGTTCCTGAAAAAATGGGAGAAAAAGATACAAGAAATTGGCATTTGACTTTCATTTGCCAGTGTATATTGGAGTTTGGCTGGGTTAAAAAAGATGAGGAACGACTGAAAAAAGGAGGAAGAAACAGGATGTGGTTTACGGCCTTCAACCCTTATTCTCTAGGGGCAAATGACCAGGAAAAAAAGGTATTGTGTAGGTCTTCTCTCATCTTCCAGAGTTTTTTTCCCACCTATTTCCCTCCCCCGCTTAAAGGCCATGTAAAAGCAGAGAAATGAGAAATGGAGATTGGATCTCTCACAGTGTTTCTCTTCCACCTATTCAAGACTCTTTAGCTCCTTGTTGAACCATATTATTCTGAATGCAGTTTTGCACATATAGAATATGCATTATAACTAACAAGTAGTTCCTGCAGACAATATTAACCATCTAAATTCAAGTTGGCCAAGAGACAAGTTTGTGCATCCACAATCATCAGTCATCACAGGACTTGTCTGTGCATTCAACATAAATATTGAACTCAGCAATTTTTATTTCCTTTATGGATAGTTTGGGTGGGAGGATTCAAAGTTGGAACCTCCTTGGAGGTAGAGAGTAGCAACGATCAAGCTATTTCCTTGGCTATGTAGTGCTTGTAAGAAAATCTATGGGCAAAAGCAAATATGTAATCGTAACCAGGATACAAAGATTAAAGTAGAAAGAAGTACACTGCCAATTTCTTCTAAATAAGTAATATCAAGCTGTAACCAAAGGCGGCAAAGTCACTACTGAAACCAAGATGCACTACAGGAGAATGACAAAAAAAGAAAAAATAATGTGGCATGGTGCCAAGCTTTGCAAAGGTGATGGGATGAAGTTCCTTGAAAGCTTCTAATAGGAACTGGTTACCATAAGCACCAGAACAGAGAGAAACAACTCGAAAATTGTAGAATTCAACAGAAAATTATTTTCGATGATATCAACATGATTAACTTGCTAAGATAAGCTCAAATGCCGATATACACACAAGAAAGTTTTAAAAGGGCAATAACAAACATCATAGACAAAATTTGAAGTCTCACAACATTCAATCAAAGATGCATATAACTGGGAAAGAAAAATGGGAACTGAAACAGAGATTTAAAATTGTATTCGCCTCCATGGTAGACAAGAATGCGTTTTGGCCCTACATTGCAATGTGCTTTGATTTAATATTACTAATGTCAAAATCCAAAGCATTTGCTTTGCTTTCCCATCAACTAAACAAGCCAAATGAATTATCAACATACATTGACACACAAGTTCCCAACACCTTGGAACTCTCATCTTTATTTATCTACTTTCTCTTTTTATTCAATTCCTCGGCAACCAAACAACCCTGTGCTTTAACAAATGCACAACCCCTCGAACAAATTTAATCTCAAATGCCCAGTCAAAAATGCAGAAGATAAACGAAAAAACTCAAAATATTTCCTTACTGCTTTCTTTCCCTTCATTTCATCGGCAACCAAATGTTTCCTGTCCTCCAAGTAACTAGCCATGCGTTGAATCTACCAAAAAACAGTCAACCCATTTACCCAATTAACGGGAGATTCTCATTCAAACAGGCAAAACCCGTTGGGAGTGCCCCGAATCGGACCCGGATCGGAGCAGCTTCTTCCATAGAGAAAGCGCCATTGCAGCGACCAAAACGCCAAGGAGATCGGCGACGGCATCTCTGGAAGAGGCACCAGCAGAGGGGAATAATCCGAGCTGGTCAGCAGCCTCCTTGGCAGCCCCAGCGGCGAGGGAGAGGATGGATCCAACCCGAATAGAATGGCTACGGAGAAAGGAGTAGCGGGAGAGTGAAGCTAAAGTGGAGAAGAGGAATGTAAGAAAGAAGCAGAAGAGGAAATGGTAGAGTTTGTCGGGTGCCAACCATGGATCTTTGTCGTCGTCGTTGTTGCTGGTACTGCTTTCGTCTCCCATTCTGACCAAAAAGGTGCTTTGAGTCGAGCCAACGATAGTTTTTTGTTTGTCTGGTTGAGTTCATTGCGGGTTTAAGAGTCCAGTCTCCTTTTACGTAAAATATTTTTTGAAAATGTTTTAAGGGCTCATGTTTGTAAAATTATAAAATTTATTTTAAATATAAAATATTTTATGAATTAATAAAAAAATATTTATTGATACTGTAAAATGTGTTGCATCATTAACAGAGGTACGATATTTTCCAAGGAATAGAAAGATTGTTCTTATATATACTAAGTTTAATATAATAAGTTTAACGAATGCTACTATTTAATTTAAATAAATATTAAAAAGATTTTAAAATATTAATATTTAACTTTAAGCATTTTTAACTTAATATGTTAATATTTAAATTATTTGATATTATTAAAATTAAATAAATATTTTTAATGAAATCATTCAATACAATCAATATTTTTATTTATAAATTGAATAAATTTTACTAATAATTATAACAAAAAATATTTCAATGATCATCATAATTACTATTTATAAATATAGATTTTAGATGTTTTACGTAATTGATGCATATTGATATTTTTGAAAATTGGAGCTTACTGTCATTATAATGTGTGATTAAATGCTTTATAAAATATTATTATTGATTTTTTTCTTTTTCATTTACATTCTTAATTTTAATGTGAAAACCAAATGGTACCATTATTTTATAATTAACTTTTATTTATCATTTTGACACCAAAATAGCTCCCATAGTGATAATGAAAAATATTTTCCACAAGAGGATGCCAGCAATAGAAAATATTTTTAATAGTTTATTCAAACAACATAAAATATTAATTTTTCATATAAAATATTTTACAAAAATTTTTTTTGCTCTAGTAAGTTATTTTTCAATTATCAAATGGACTTTATGCTGGGTTTGATCAACAAGGAAATAAATTTAAAATTAATTTTTATATATTATCATCAATAAATTAAAATTTTAAATTATATTTTAAAAAATAACGATTTTTAGTAAGAATTACATATATTATAAAGAATTTATAAATAAAAACTAATATATATAATTAAAATTTAATATTAAAAATTATTACTTTTATTTGAACTCGAATTATTCGAATCCTAGTTAAACTTATAACAAGTAGTAGCTTTACTATTTGAACTCGATTATAAAGTACTCTAATCTTACTTAATCAAATCAATTAAAGCAAGATAATCGATTGCAAGATCCAAATTGACATCCCTAGTATATATTCTTCCTTTTTTCAATTCATTTTATTATAATAATCTTTATGGTATCTGTTGGGTATTATGTAGCGAAAATAAAAAATAAATTTAAATAAAATCGTATGTCGTCATTCATTGATCACTTTGGTGGTTTTAATTCAAACAAAATTAAAAAAGAGGAGTAATCAGAAAAATAAAATTACTTTTGCTAAGTGATGTGGCTATCACGATGATACCTCTTCCTTTTAACATTGCAAACACCACAAAGGGTGTAGAGAAACCAAGTCATTCAAATGCTAAACCTTCCATATTGCACATATGGTTGCATTTGAACCTTCACAAGGAGGCAGCTTTCTCAACTATGCCTTCGTGTTAGTAAGGTGGATAACCATTTGTCCTTTCCATATAATCACACTCTTCTTAACTAAATCACAAAGTTGGAAAAACTATTTTTTTCAAAATTTCTTAAGAGAAATTGTGACTAGGGTTTTCTTGTTAGTTTTTCCAGCAACTCGAAAACCTAACTTGTGTATTTTTCTTTTTCTTTCTTGTGAGGAGTAGCTAAAAAATAATACTTATATTTAGGTTAATTAATTTCTTAAATTGAAAATAAAATCTTAATATTATAACTCTTTATAATTTTGGCTTTACACTTAATTAAACCTTTTTAATTAAGTCATTGTAAATTAAAATCAAATTTAATTTACTTTATTTGTTTGTAATTAAGGCTTTAATATTATAACTGATTATTATATTTACCTTACGCTTAATTAAACTATTTTAATTAAATTTTTAGAGGTTAAAAACCCTAGTGTATGATTTAAGTCCAACTTAAATCATCACACTCCAAATTTAATTCATAATGCAACTTATTGTGTGTAACACATTAGATTCCTAAATATGTTGACAATGAAATTGAATTATAATCTTTATTAAATTAATTAATTAAACTCCATATGTCAAGATTGATATCTGTCAATTTATCATGGCCATCTAATTATTAAAAGAGTCAAAGCGTTCTTTAAAAATCTTTTAATATACAATTTATCAATGTAATTCATTCTTGTTAGGATAAGCCTTGCAGCCAATTAAGATTAGTTAAGGCTTGGTTCAAATCATGCAACAATATCATTCATATTGAATAATTAGAAGTTTTTTTTTCCATCAATAAGACATTAATTATAATAAGTTATAAGTTTGATTAAATGAAGTCCATGAGATTAATATGCTTTACAGGAAAACTGTAATGGGTTGCAATTATAACATCCTTACACATTAAAGTATGATCTCAAAATGTTCCTAATCAATGTATCATTGAAATTGAATATCAATGATGTTTAAAAACTGGTACATTCTATATTCCTTACTTTGGATGTAAGCAATTGATCTCATAGATTGAAGTGTATAGTTACTTGAAACTGGAATGTAAGTATTTGCCTAGGAGAGCAAGTTCATTGGACATGACCACTATGAGAAGTACATTTGGTAATATACTTTAGTATATATGCAACACTTCTCATACATCAATTGTGTAAATGCTCTTTAGACTTGAGACACATGGTTGTGTTATATGCAGAGTGTTATACTTTAATTTCATTCCTACGAGTGTTTAATCAAGGATGTCTAAATAGGATGCTTTTAGGTACAGTGTGAAACATATGAAGACAAATAAGTGATCAAGATAGGAATCATCATCTCAAGTGTTTTAGAGGACATATCTTATCAGTTTATGATTAACATTAGCTTATTGAAATCTTTTGCCAAGGCAACTTGGAGATTATGAAAAGGTTTTATAAATCTCCATAAAGCTAATGGTATAATTGCAGGAATGAATATGGAGGTCAATAAGAGTAGACATTGTATTAAGCTCTTATCATCTCTAAGATATATGATGAGGGAATGAATTGCACTAATAAATTGTACACTGAAATATTGTTAAAGAATCCTTTGACTCTTCTAACAATTGGGTGACTATGATGCATTACTAGATATCAATCTTGGTCTACAAAATTAATTATAAATTAATGGATTGAAGTTTATATTAATCAATTAAGTCATTAATCAATGTCATTGCCAATATGTTAGGAATTTAATGGATTACACACAATTATTGCACTTAAATTAAATTGATAGAATGATGATTTAAGTTAGACTTAAATCACATGCTAGGTAATTAATTTTTACAAACTTAATTAAAAAGAGTTTAATTAAGTTTTGGGCATCATATATAAATAGTTATAATTATAATGTTGAAATTGCAATAATATAAAGAAAATTATTTCAATTTAATTTTCATTGGGCTTAATTAAAATAGTTTAATTAAGTTTTAGGCCTATATTGTAAAGTGTTATAATTTGGAGGGCCTTATTGCAAAATTAAAGTTAATTTTAACCTAGCTATATAAATCACATTTAATGGCTATACAACTAGTTTGTACATCAAATCATCTTCAATGGCTACAAAGTTTCTCTAACTATAAAAATGACTTGCCTAACCCATTTAGAAAGAAATGAGAAAAAATAGAAAGATCATTTGATCAAGAATCAAATGAAATAAAGAAGAAGAGGAAAAAGAGAGAAAAACTAAGCTAAAGCAATTACTCATATTCTTCCAAAAGCTTGTGAGCTATGTTTGAGATTTCACTCCTTTGTGTTTTCACTCATATCTTTTGTAATAAGTTTTTAGCTCTACCGAAATCTTCCTCCATGTATTCACCTAGCCAAATCAACCTTCTAGAGGTATGTGAGCTTTAATGATGTAAAAGAGAAAAGGTTATGCTTCAACCTTTAAAAGGCAATGATGTAAAGGATTTGTCTAATCCTTGAAAAGGTTAAGGTTCTACCTGATCCTTGAAAAGACTAAAGCTTTGCTTGATCCTTTAAAAGGATGAGGTTATGTCTATTTTTTAAAAAGGCAGTGTGAGTTATGCTTGATCCTATGAAAAGGCAATGTAAGTATGCTTTATCCCATGAAAAGGCAATGTGAGGTTATGCTTGACCTTTTCAAAAAAGCAATATAAAAGTTATGCTTGATCTTTGAAAAGGTAGTGTTCATAGTGGATTGAAAGTTCTTTGGTGAACAAAGGGAAAGGATGTATGTGCCTATAAAAAGGGTCGAGCCTTTATAAGTGCTTTGTGTCTTTTTTCTCTTCTTTTTTCTCTTTAACTAGCATATTTGGTTTTGAATGAGTTTTTAGAGAGTCACTTAGAACTTTCTTCTTCATCTTTTTGAACTTGTGCTTCTTTTCTCTAATCTTCACTATCGCTTATTTGTTGATTTTGTCATGCAGTGAATAGATTTGAATATTTTAAGTTCAAAACTGTTTTTACTTAACTTATTCTTCAAATCACCTTTGATTTAATTTGAAATACTCATGTTTTCAACCTTGATTTGAAGAGTCTTGAAAATCAACACTTATTTTGTTTTATTCTTTGATTTACTCTTCAAGTTGCTTTATACTTTTTATTTATGCACTTTTCTTGCAAAGTTTTGAAAGTTTGTTTTCAACTCACTTGCTCATTTAGTTTTTAAATTGTTTTTGACATGTTTTAAAGAGAGAGCAAGTTTATGAATCTTCCTTCTTCTTGAGCTTGTGGTTTTGTCATGAAAAATGCTTTAGAAATTTGATTCAAGCTCACTTACTCTTCATCTTTATATTTGAGTACTTTTACTTCATTTTGAAGAGTATTGAAAATTTGTTTTTAGCTTATTTTCCTTGGTTTATTTTGAAATGAAAACGAATTTGGAAACTTGACATCGAGCTCAAGAGTTCAAGTTGCTAAAAAAATTTTAAATCCAATTCACCTTTCTTATTGGATATCTCTTCATTTTTATTGAGCTAACTAGATTAGCAATTTGCAGTTCCAAGACCATGCTATAAATAATTGCTATTGTTTTGTCAATAGGGAAATCTATGTTCTCAAAAGAGAAAATGTTTTTCAAATTCTATAAGAACCAACAAGTACTCCAAAAAATGACATCCCATCTAACGTTGGTATCAATCATATTAGTTTTCCCCAAGTTAGTCAAAAACCACTCTTAAACCTCAAGGTTAAAAAATTTACTATGCATCCTTACAGGTAATAGATGTAACCACGTCACATTAGCTGTAGGACAGTCTTGAAGCATATGAATGATGGTATTCTCTTTGACCCCACGTTACACACATAGAGAAGTATTAGTGAGATATCTACAACATCTTTTTGTATTCCTTAGAAGCTTGTTGTGAAGACATTGGTGAATAAACATCTAAATTCTTTCTAGCTTATCCCACTTCCATGCTAATTGCCACTTCCTTGAGCTAATACTCAAGTTTGAATTATCAGGGTTCTTTAAGAAATGGTAAGCTGAAGCCACTGTAAAATATCACGAAGATGGTAAAGCCAAATATGGTCTATCATGCTAATCATGTGTGGGAATAATGATTTCTTCGAGTAATGTAATTTCTTCGAGTAGAAGATAATTTGACAAGCTATCGAAGTCCCATTCACCATCTTTTAATACAATCCTTTTAACATGATAATGGTCTTTGAATGAATTACCTATCAACCTTGCTGCTTCGACAGGAAGATAGCCTCCCACCCATATGTCCATCCAAAACAAAGTTATGAGTCCATTCCTTATTGCCCATCAAACATTTTGTTTAAATATCACTTATAATTTGCAAATGGATGTCCAAAAAGAGAAAAAGCTTGTACTTTGTAGCTTATGAGGGCATGCAAAGCTCCCATAATTATAATTACTACGTACAAGTCGCACTCATAAAGTTTGTGGGTTTGAGACAACCTTCCAACAAGCTTTAAAGAGAAACACTTTGTTCATTAAAGGCAAATATCGAATGCCTAAGCCTCCCTCATCTTTTGATCTACAAACATCTATTCATTTCATCAAATGTATCATTTTGCTATTCATATCGCATCCCCAAAAGAATTGATGACAAAGGCCTTCAATTTTCTTGTGTATTGCAATATGTAATGTAACAGTTTGCATGGTATAGTATGGAATTGTACAAAGAACTAATTTAACAAGTGTAAGTCTACCTACAAAAGATAAAGCCAAATCTTTCCAAGAAGCCAATTTACTATGTATTTTTTCTTCCAAGTAGTTGAACATTTGTCTCCTTTTCTGTCCGTTAATTAATGGAACCCCCAGATATTTGCCCATATTTTTCATGAAAGTAAAACCGGATGCAACAATTAAGCTTGAGATAGTGCCATGATCAACATTTTTAGAGTAATAGAAAAATGATTTTTCAATGTTAACTTTCTCACTTGAACACATGCAAAAGTCCTCTGATACCCCCAAAATGATTTCTAGCTGAAAGATAGAAGTTTCTCCAAAACGAATTAAATCATCTATAAAAAAGAGGTAGATAAAAGCAACAACCCTCTTAAAGAGTTTAATGGGTTTCCATAAACCTTGTGCTATTGCATTTCTGATGTCATGCGAGTTCTCCATACATAAAACAAAGAGGTATGAAGATATAGGGTCCCCTTGATGAACACCTTAGGATGGCTTGAAGCTATTATAGAGATTACCATTCCACAAAATTTATGAACTACTACTTTGCCAGCTCTTGATTATAATATTAATTAGACAATCGAGTATTACATCCATAAGAGTATCATAAATAAACTCCCATCTTAATCGATCATAGGCTTTTTCAAGATTGATTTTTAACATCATCTATCTTGATTTGCCTTATTTCTTTCTAAAGGAATGCATTACTTTTTGTGCAATTATGATATTATTTGTAATTGGTTGTTCTGGGATAAAAATCAATTGAGTTTCTTCGATCAGACAAGCCATACATGGCTTCAAATGGTTTGTAATGACTTTCTTGGGGACGTTGAAGATAACTGGCAATAGGCTAATAGGCTTAACTTGAGAAATAAACTTCAGGATTTGGATCTAGGAATTAAAGAAATAATGGACTTGTAGAGATCATTACCTATTTCTACCCCATACAAAACTACACGAATGTAGTTCACAATATCATTGCCCACTGTATTCCGTTGTGATTAGAAGAACAAGGTTAGGAAACCATTAGCTCATGGTGCCTTAAGGGGTTTCATTTCAAATAATGCTAAATGTACCTCAATCTCATCCATGTTTTCATAATAGATCAATGATTGTTTGATCAAATTTAGAAATTGACCATGAATTGGTTAAACAAGAAGTGATCGATCATCCTTGGTATATAGTTTTTCAAAGAAACTCATGTCTTGAGCTTTTAAAATTGCTTAGTCATCACATCAAAAACCATTTGAAAAATGAAGTCAAAGGAGTTTTGATTTACATCTCCGAGTCGCTCTTAAGTGGAAGTACTGAGTGTTGCGATTCTCAAAGAAAATCCTTTAACTTCGTCCTTTCTATTGATATCTATAAAATCATTCATTAAAAAATGATATATATATATATATATATAAAGGACATAAAACAATGATATATCATGTTTGGATGTGCTTTTGAGCAATGACATGCTCATTGTGATTGATGACATAAATGTTTTGAACTTTCATCTAGTGTGTGTGATATTTGTACTTAGATCCTATCTGTATTATCTTCTAACTTCATAAAATTTTGTTTAAATATATTTTGACGTATAGTCGAAGCAATTATAAAAAAAAAGATAAAAAAATTTTATAGATAATTTTCAAAAAAAAAAATTATAGAAGCTTTTATGTTTATCATGGTTGTTTAATAAGCAAAATATAGCTTAAATCATACACCTTATAGGTTATGTGACTTATAATTATACTATTTATCAGTTAGCGAAAGATAAGCCTATAGTTGCTCTACCATTGATAATTTGCCATCGAGGTGCTGTTTGAGTGGAGCTTTAGCATTTATCAAGGATATTTTATGTTTAAGCTTAGGAATTCTTGCCTAGAATGGTTCAAAAAGCATGGTTCAAGGTGGATTAGGTCGAAAGAAACACATGAAAGGAAACAAAACTGGAAAAAGAAAAATGCTTGACAATTTAGGGAGCCACCGTGGTTTTTGGCAATCTTTGTTTAACACACTTCATGCCTTGTTTCACATACCATACATGCCTCACGCATCGACAACTCTTGTCTTAAGCAATAATTGCCCATGTACTATCTACTAACGTCTTTTGTCATTACAGTTTATTCAACACATTTGCTGCCACATGTCCTTGTAGCATCATTTGTAAGTCAACTATTTACGACGTGTTCCTTGAAGTTATCCATCTGTGATGTGTTTTGTCATGTCATCTTTCTGTAACATGTTTCGTCACTTGTCTATAATGTGTTTTGTCACATCATCTTATGTGTCTTGTTTTGCCACATCACCTTCTGTGTTGTGTTTCACTGTGTCACCCTTTATCACATGTTTTGCCATATGTTCTATTACATCATTTGTTAGCAATGTGTTTCACCGTGTCATCTGTTTGTGATCTGTTTTGTTTCATCACTTGCCATGTGTTCTGCCTCATAATATCCTCTATTTTGTGTTTCACTACATCATCTTTTGTATCATGTTTTGTCACGTCATCCTCTATGTCATGTTTTGCCACGTCTTTACCACATGCATTATGATGTCAACCTATGTGTTTTGTTTCATCATTTCACCTACCACGTCACCCTCTATGCAGTGTTTTGTAACATCACTAGGGCATGAAGCCATTAATTGATTTCAAGACTTAATTTATCTTAGTTTTCAAACTCAAGTTAACATTTACCATACCATCTTAAATTTGAGTGAAATGTAAAGATAATTATATAAATTATTTAGTTATAGTTAAAGTTAAACTATGAATAGAATTAATGTCATAAATATCCCATTCTCTTCTATAACATGTATAATTTAGATTTCTCTAAACATACACAATTTTTTATACTATAATATTTATTTTTATCATAACTTTGAGTTCAACAAATCAAAATTTTCTCTTCTATTAAAGATAAAAATTAAAGTAACCGGATCAAGAAACAAGACACCCGATTAGATGACACGTAATGATATCTCTAAATAGCAAATGTTCATTAAATAGAAATCCAACCACACGAAACAATAAAAACGATTTGTTATAGAAAAAGATAAAAAAATACCTTAATAAGTCAAACAACTTAGGCAAACAAAGTACTTGGAATGCCTTTAGGGCTCATCTCATAAAAATAAAATAAATTAGAAAAAAAATTAAGATAAAATGAGCAACATGTGAGTTATGTAGCAATATGTAACGGTTTGGTGCCTGGGCAATGTAACGATTTATGGCCACAACATCAGAAACCATCCCCCTCTTTGTATTTACTGTATATTCTCCCATGTACTAGACCACAATTTAATGCTTGTTTATGACCTAAAATAATTTTAAACCAATTTTGGGAGGAATTAAAACCCAAATCGAACCTCACCTGGCTTCGATCCCAATCAAAGGGAAAAATGCCGGATCAAATCTCATCTCCAGCCCCGAGATCGGCCACGGATCTCTTCTCCGACCCTCTCGACTCCCACCCGCTGTGGTTCAAGCCCTCTCTCTTCCTCTCCCCTAACTTCGACTCTGAATCCTACATTACCGAGCTCCGGTCCTTTGTCCCTTTCGACACCCTCCGATCTGAGCTCCGGGCCCATCTCTCTTCCCTCAACCATGAACTCATCGACCTCATCAACCGTGATTATGCCGACTTTGTCAATCTCTCCACCAAACTGGTCGACGTGGATTCCGCGGTGCTTCGCATGCGTGCTCCGCTTCTCGAGCTACGCGACAAGATCCAAGGCTTCAGGGGAGCTGTTGAGGGCTCACTCCTTGCTTTGAAGGATGGACTGAGCCAGCGAGCGGAGGCAACCTCCGCCAGGGAGGTGTTGGAGTTGTTGCTCGACACCTTTCATGTTGTTTCCAAGGTAATTTTGCCTTGTAGTGTAGTTGTTGATTCATTTCCATTTCCATGTTCATTCGAATTGATGTATAAATTAAAACTCCTTTTATAAGGTTGAAAAGCTTATAAAGGAGCTGCCTAGTGTGGCTTCAGATTGGTCGAATGGGGATGTCAATCCGGTGCAAAAGAAAAATGCTTCGAGCTTACAACATGTTGAGAATGGAACGACGAATCTCAGAGAGACTCAAAGCATGCTGCTTGAGAGAATTGCCAGTGAGATGAATCGCCTCAACTTTTATATTGCTCATGCACAGGTACCTCTCTTTCTTCCATCTAAATTTTATGCCGACCTTTGACCTGCAATTGATGCCATAGCCACTGATATATTATTGGTTAAATGCCTCCTTCATAAGTTTGGTTACTGATTACCTTACAATTATCTTCCATATCAAATTATGTAGTTTCAGTTTGGATTTGTTTTCTAAAATATATACAGAAGAAGAAAATTTCTTTATTTTTTTCTGGGAATTTATTAAGAAAATACTCTTTACCATTGATAAGAGCTCCCCTGGAAGGCTAGCTCTCCAAACAATTGACACATGTACTGCACATTCTATATGGCTAATAAACGAGCTAAATGATTTGCATCACGTCTCACAAAAGAATTAAACAATGACTACAATGAGAAGCTAAATCCTGAATATTCTCCAACACCACACCATGATTCCCACTGCACGAATCTATACTCTGTGCCTCATTAATAACCTGTATCGAGTTCCCCCTCCGTAATTATATTCTCATATCCCAACTCAGTTGCTAGTGCAATCCAAACAGCAACACATAAGACTAAGCCAACAATAGGAGCTCCACTGCTTTCTGTTGCAACAAACAAGCTAGGACAAAACCCTGAGAATCATAAATAACTTCTCCTATCCTATTCCTATCTCATTCTGCAATGGAAAAAATTGTTGCATTGGCATGCACTTTCACATAACTTTCGGGGGGAGAACACTACATGTATCTGATGAGAGTGCACATTTTGAAGCTCAGCCGAGACAAGCCTATGCACCTACAAAATCTTTTTGGCAGATATGTATCACTTTATTAGCTGTCCAACAGTTCCTTCGTGCAAACACATTTTTCTGTCAAACTAGAGCATCCATGCCACTATCCAAAATAAATCAAGATACTCAGTAGCTGCGTTTTTAGTGAACCACATCCAAAAATCATTCAAACTCAAAAACGGCATGAACTCATCATCAATATAAGGTAAAGCTAGACACGAAACCTGCCTTCTTGACCTGCATAAGAAAAGGACATGAAAACAGATTCATCTGCATCATCACAAACACAACAACCGAGTTCACTAGCAATCCCTTTATGAGCAAGAACTTGTGTAACTGGGACCACTTGCTTTAAAGCCCTCCATCCAAAATGCTTAACTTTATATGGTATCTGTCAATTCCATAAACACTCCTCATCAGAGGCCCTATGGACATGTTCTCACCATGCAATAGGTTCCTCACTTCATAATAGAGCGCACCATAAACAATTCTTTTGTTTTGCCTCACCAAACTAGCTTACGTGCTGGCCAATGATTTTTAATTGGTATGCTTGCTACCATTTTCATAGCTTCTGGTGAGAAGAGTTGATTGAGTTCCATTTTAATATTTTCCTTATCAGTCAGGCTAGCTACTCTTAAATGATACAACAAATCATTGTCTAATTGTTTTTCCTATCTCCAGGAGGCTTATTCAACCACTTATCTCGCCAAACAGCAATCTAGTTTCCATTCCCCCCCCTCCACCCCTTCCCTTCCATCACCATATCCATTGTTATCATAATAATTTTTCAGGTATATGAAGCATTGCTTCCTAAAATGACATAAAGAAGAGCAAAATTCGAGAGTATTTCACCTTTAAAACTCATGCACAAATTGAATCACTTCACCTAAATAAGATCCCAACCCCGTTTAACTAGTTAAGCTAGAGTAAATGCTTCACAATCTCTAAACACAAACCTCCTTCCCCTTTAGAGTGGCATAACTTATCCCAACTAACCCAATACAGTGTCCTTTTCTCGGAACTATCACCCCATTAGAACTTAGCAAGCATTATTTTGATATCATTGATAATGTATCGAAAGCAGCTCATACAATCTTTAGGAATTGCTTGAGCTACTGACTGCAATAAAACCTCCTTCCCAGACTTGGGAAGCAATTTGCCTTTCCACCCTCTTAAAAGGACTTGAAATCCTATCTTTTATCCAATCTAAAACTGAACCCCCGATACCAATTGTTAGAAAATGTTGTATGCATATCAAGAGTATTCATAAAGCTGTCATTGTACAATTGCGAGGTATTTGGTACTAAAAAACAAAGCTGACTTCTCCATTTTTATTTTTGGCTTGGAACCTTATCGTATCTTCGAAGAAATTTTAACAAAGCATGAGTTTTACTGTGGCTCTAAAAATAAATGCGTAAGCTTGGACTTCGTCTATGGACCGGGACTCCCCTTTTTTATACCTTGTCACCCTGCATGCTGCAACAAAGAGGTGCACAAAGTACGAATAAATAAGGTGACAAAGGATCACCCTGTTGTACACCTCTCAATGGTGTTATGAGACCACATGATTGGCATTGACCAGTACAGAATATCTAACGGAAGAAATACACTTCGTCACCCTATCAATCCATATTTCAGGAGAGCCCAACACCCTCCTCACCAGCCTTTTCGGATTCTTATATTTAGAATTTTTTGCACTATATTAGTATGTTTAATTGCATCATCAAAATTACCTTTATTAAAAAAATCCAAAACAACTTTGGTAACACCACCACCACCAACTTGCCAATATTTTTGGTAAAACATTGCATTCATACCATCAGAACTTGGCAATTTAGGACGCATTTGTATGAGAGCTGTATGAACCTCTTCAGCTATAAACCTTCAAAGTCTCATAAGCATTATAGATATGTACCTCGTATCAGCTATAAACATTGCATTTATATCAAAGTATGGTGATTTAGAAGAATAGTGAACAATCAGGGTAATTTTGCTTGTTGGATAGACAGTAATATTTGTTTCATAAGCATTATAGATATGTACCTGGGAATGATGTGAACAACCACCAAGCTAAAAGCTTTTTCTTTGGAAGTAGAAACTCATGCACTATCTGTTTACTATATCATGCAAGTGCAGAACCTTCCTTTTGTTCAGAACATGGAAAAGAGGATTCGAAGTGCTAGCCTATTGTTAGATGCAAGCTTGGGACACTGTTTTGTAGATGGGCTGGAACACAGGGATGCAAATGCAATTTATAATTGCTTACGTGCTTATGCAGCTGTTGATAGCACCAGCAATGCAGAAGAAATTTTTCGGACAACCATCATGGCTCCATTGATACAAAAAGTAATTCCACAAGGGTCATCTGGAGGAGTGGTTAGTGGGGCATCTGGGGATGAACTTGAGAATGATTATCAACAAATCAAAAAATATGTGGAGAACGACTGTAAATTGTTACTGGAAATTTCTTCTGCAGGTACATATCTATGCCTTTTTGCCCCATTGAAGTCCTAACAATTCTGTGACTTCATGTTCTTGTTCATTGGGTCCTTAGTACTAAGTTACATCGGATTTGGTGTTTCAAATTGGTGTGAGTCCTGACAAAGGGTATGCTGTAGTTAGACAATTTTTTATGAACTTAGGATATAAACATCATAGTTGTAAAAATCTAATATGTCCAATCGGTGCCAGAAATGGGTACATTAGGGTAGTGAGGAATTTGTGTAAAATGATTTCAGTCTTCTTATAGCCTTTGCATGTCAAACTTCAGATCCGCTACATATCAAGGCTGATAAAATTTTATGATGTTGTTTTGTTCAGAAAATTCAGGTTTACATGTATTTGACTTCTTGGCAAATTCGATTCTGAAAGAGGTTCTTGCGGCCATTCAAAAGGGAAAACCAGGTGCTTTTTCTCCAGGAAGACCTAAAGAATTCCTTAAAAACTACAAATCAAGCCTAGATTTCTTGGCTTATCTTGAAGGTAGTGATCTGACCTTCACTTCGCATCTCAGATTACAAACTTTGTGAAGGCTATTTTGATAAAGAATTAAAATGTCAGAACTATAGTCCATCTTATTATATATAAAAGAAATTTTGGTTGTCAGGCTATTGCCCATCAAGAGCTGTTGTTGCCAACTTTCGAGCAGAACCTGTTTATGTTGAGTTCATGAAGCAGTGGAAAGTTGGTGTTTATTTTTCTTTAAGGTATTTAATGGAATTATTAGATGTTTAATTTGCTAATACAATTGTTGCATTATTATTTAGATATGAACTGCGCTTATCTTCAACCACTCAGGTTTCAAGAAATAGCGGGTGCTCTGGATTCAGCACTTACAGCATCCAGTCTTGTTCTTGTCCAGAATTATCAGTCTGATGAAAATTCTCAGAACTTGACACTTAAACAAAGTGTTACGCTTTTGGAGAGCTTGAGATCCTGCTGGAGTGAAGAAGTTCTTGTCCTTTCTTGCTCTGACAAGTTTCTTCGCTTGTCCTTGCAGCTGCTGTCAAGGTCATCCCTTGAATCAGATAGTTTTGGGTAGTCTAGAATTGCTGAATAACATCATTTGACAGTATTTTATGCATGACAGATACTCAAATTGGTTGGCATCTGGATTGGCTGCTCGGAAGAAGGGTAGTGCTGGTGCCAACCCTGGATGTGAGTGGGCTCTTTCAGCTGCTCCAGATGATTTTGTTTATGTACGCACATGTCTTTATTTCACTATATTTTCAAATGTTAATAAATGGTGTACTTCTGTTTGACTTTTGAAACTTAAACTTTAGAGAATTGGAGGAAGAACTAATAACTACTTTTGTTTGAATATCTAAATGGGTGATTAAATAGATAAATAATTAGTTCTCCACTTATCTACTTGATTCTTTTCCATGGAAAGATTTAAGGGAGAAATTGAAAATGGTAATTTTACTTTCTTAAACATTTGAAATATATTTCTATATTTGATTTTTAAAATGATAATAAAATATTGTAGTTGTACAATTGCTTCTGATCTCATCATTGTCAGTCCCCCTAATTAGATCTGCTGAATTTATAGGATTTTAAGCATTGTATTATTATTTCGTTTTTTTTTTCTACATTTTCCTTGCAAGCCGCTTTTAGTTCCCGACATCAAGCATTACATTATTATGTCTTCTAATATCGTAGACCATAATTATCATTGATGCAGACTTTTTGAGCAGCATAATGCACTTGTGCTTGCAGATCATTCATGACATAAATTGTCTGGCCAAGGAGATTTCTGGTGCTTACCTCGATCATGTACTTCAAGTTCTGTCTTCATGTTCCACTGAAGTTCTTGATCTAGTAAAACAGAGCATTTTGCACTCTGGAAAATCATTGGATGATTTATTACCCTTAGTTATCAACACAATTATGGAGGCTTTGGTTCATAAGTCTGTTGAGGTAAGCATTCCCATGTTAGTGTATATCTTATTTGCATCATTCTTTAAGTATGAAACCACTGCAAGTTTGATAATTTTTCCTGTAAATTGGCTGCCTGCATTCTCTAAACTTTTTGTTCATTCTCGTTTGTCTTGAATTTCAAAGGACTTGAGACAGTTGAAGGGGATAACTGCAACTTACAGGATGACAAATAAACCTCTTCCTGTCAGGCATTCACCCTACGTGGCAGGGGTATTGCGCCCATTGAAGGTATGCAATTTTTTTCGTTTATAGCTATGTCACTACTACTCAAGCATCGTTACTTCATGTCCTATGCTTTAGGATCGAACTTTTTCTTTCATAATTTTAATTTTTATGGCCAATTAGTACTCACTTTGTCTGTGCTTGATGTATGAATGTTAATTTTGGATGAAAAGCAAATCAGGTTTTATCTACTTCTCACTGTTTCCCTGGTTGATGGAAATCTATTAATGTGGGAGGTCATACTATTGTGACTTAGGCCATTTTTTTTCATTTATACTTCCATTTTAATACTTTTTTACTGGATTATTATGGAAACTTCTATCTTTAGGGCTTTCTGCAGTATGCTCAGACATGTCTTGGTTTTGATTGACCATCAAATCTGGTAATGAGCTATGTTACTTGGAGAGAGAGAGAGAGAGAGAGATGGTAGATTGGTGGGTGTAGTGTTGTCAAAGGCACAAGGTGCACTCCAGGGGTACTCCAGGGGTTAGGACCCTTACCTCACCTGAGGCACAAGGTGCACAAGAGGCGCTTGCACAAGTGAAGTAAGGTGCTAATTTCTAGAAGATAATTAATATATACAGGACAAAGAAAGGTCTATGTGTTATGTCTAATAAGCTTGAAACATATGATTTTGCTGATAACAATTAAAGAGTTTACTCCATTACACTGCCTAGTGTACTTCAAAGATCGAGAATTATCATAATTAATGTCATCAACAAAGTAATAAGTATCCTTAACTTCCATTTCAACAAAAAAGTTGCACATCAATTATACTATTTAATTTTTTATTCCTGTAAATAGGGCAGAAACTGTGCTCTTTTGAATATTGAAAGAATAGCTGATAAAAGAAATTGAAAACTAAGAAAACCAAGGGACTCTTGTTCTGTGCCTTTTGCCTTGAAAAAACTTCGCTAAGGCACTAAAGGTGTGTGCTTGATTAAAGGTGCCTTGCCTCAAGGGGTGGAAGGCCCTTTGCTTGATTTGCGCTGTGCCTTAGCACCTAGGCATGCTCCTTGACAACTCTGGGTGGTTGCGAGTGAGAGAGAAAGAGGGAGAGAGGCGTCGCATTAACACTTGAAAATTAGGATTACAAAAATGGATTGATCAGTGATAATGGGTTGGGGTCCTTGGACTAGATTGGCTCTAATTAGGCTTTTAAGGGTTTTCAGCGCCCATCTTCAAAACTTAGAAAGCTTAAATACTTGAAGGACTCATTTACAAATCCAGAGAATAAATGCCCATTAGGATTGTCTTTCGCTCTCTCTTTCTCACTCTTAAAATTAAAAATTCATTCCAGTTGCAGCCCTTGCATAATTAACAATCTAAAATAATTTTTATCCTCTTTTTCCATCTGTGGAGAATGTGTATTCTATCTGTAGGGTTTGTTATGGACCACCCACATAGGCAATTGTGGAATTTACTTGTGATCTTTAACAGCAATTTCCATGCTTTCAGACTTTCCTGGATGGTGAACGAGCTACAACATATTTGACAAATGATGCTAGGAATGATCTACTGTTAGGCGCTGCAACAGAGATAACTGGTCGCTATTATGAGCTAGCTGCTGACCTTGTCAGTGTGGTCAGTATAACAAACAAAGTTTTTTTCCTAGTTTTTCTTGGAGTTAAAGATGCTTTCAATAAAACCTCTTGATTATCATGTGCAGGCTAGGAAAACAGAGTCTTCACTTCAAAGAATAAGGCAGGGTGCACAAAGACGAGCTGGGGCAAGCTCAGATGTCTCAGATCATAATGTTTCTGACACTGACAAAATTTGCATGCAGTTATTTCTGGATATTCAGGTGAGCATCCCATACTTAGAAATGGCAATGAGGTGGCTGCATACTGCCTATGCCCAACCTTGACTTTCAAACACTCTCCATCCACACCGAGGTCCTGGTGTGGGAACATCTTATCCCCATCAACAGGGTCTTGTTATAGATTTTCACCATTTTTTTTTTTTTGACATTTCTGTGAAAATCATCAAATGCACTTAGAGCTTAACTTTTCCTATCAAATAAACCAAATAAAATAAACAATAACTTGACATAGTTATAGAAACAAATAAAAGGAATAAATATACATAATCTTCAATACATGCATGGTGAAAGTAAATTTTGTTTAAAGTTACCTAATGGAATAATTGTTGTAAATTTCCTTTTTTTTTTTTTCATAGTCAACTGATTAATGAAACTTGCCCTCATAATCTGGCAATGGATTCAAACTTGATCAACAATATATAAATCCTATTTGAATCTAAACAAGGTCTTGCACAAATTTGATCAAAAGAACAAAAGAAATCTACAAAAGCTGCTATGACAGAATTGAGTCTATTACCAGTTTTAATTTCACCAAAAAGAAGGGGTTACTACATCCTAGCTGATTGCAACATTTAGAAGCTGATGTACCTGCTGCAGTATGAAAGCAAAGAATTAATGTTTTCTTACTGGGTGGAAACTTGAGCTTTCTGGAGAGGTTGGCTGAATGGAAAGAGATCGAAACATGGAGACGAGGGGAAAATTAGGATTTAAGAAAATGTGAGTTGGGAAAGATTACGGATAGCATTCAGAGATATAGATATCAGAGAACATAAAATTATCCTAGGGGAGGAATAGCTGAAAGGTGTCAGACAGTCATAGTGAGAAAATATAAAAAAATAAATGGGAAAGTCATGGTTTAGTAAAGAAATACCAACTTATTAGCAGTATTGCAATATATATTGAAAATTAATGAAATACATATACACATTCACTTATGTGCATGTCTATCTGTATATGGATATCGGGTATTGCTGGGACTTGGAAGGGGGATTAGGCTCCCCATCCTTATAGCCAAGCTCTGATTGAGGATCAAATTTGATCCTCAGCCCTGCCTCCAACCATGAACCTTTCGGAAAACATTGTGGGTCCCTGTAGGGTACTGAAAAAATTGCCATCTGTATCACATCCTTCTATTGATGTTTAGTGTGTCTCTCTCTCTATCTCAGAGTGTCTTATTCAGTCCATTTTACATCTTTGCCAGGAGTATGGCCGCAACCTTGCTGCCTTGGGAGTAGACGCAGCTAATATCACTGCTTACCGGTCCTTGTGGCAGTGTGTAGCACCTGCTGATAGGCAGAGTGTGATCAATTTTTAAGATGAGCATCTAGTTGCTGTTTCTTTTACATGGTAAAGCATTTTACTATATATTTAAGTTGATCTTATTGTGATTTTCCATTTTGTAAAATTTTTTTAAAGAAAATGCAAGCCTTTGTTCTGCGTCTATAGATGTTGATTTTTCCTTTACATTAAGTTGAAAATTTTGTATAGAGAACTTCTCAGAGAATCTCACAGTATTGATTATTCTATCAGCTTAGAACCAAGTTGTTTACTTTTTTTTTTTTATTATTATTTGTTTTCCCTTCTTGGAAGGGGTTCTTGGCAAAGTTGGTATCAAGAGTTATGCTATTTGCTAGATGACTGACCTGAAATAGATATACATTCAAAAACAATAGTAAGGAGAAATCATACTGCTTGATGAGACTTAGTAAATCATACAGGTAAAATTGGAATAGCAGTGGACAAAGCATAGGCTTAATATAATTCATGTTTCATATTTTACCTTGGTGTCGAATTTTTAATTGGAATTTGTATTCTTTACCTTCTTTACCTATACAAGAAGGTACAAGTGATATCAGAACTTACTCAACTTTTTAAGATTCGTATGAAAAATATCAGAATCGAGGTAGATTCTCTCCTCTATGAATGAAAAAGTGTCCATGCAACGGAAACATTGAATAATTGAGTAGAGTACATTGAATGATTGAGGAAGATAGAGTATCACAAGTATCACATTAGTCTTAGATTTTAATTAAATGTTTTCCTGTACTTGATAGATATATTTTTTAAGTTACATGGATATTTGATAAAACAGTTTGATTGATCTTTTAGCTTAAAATATTTGTTTTAATAAATAAAAGAATATTCATTGTTTTTACTTTCAATATTGGTTAAGGTTAAATTCCTTAAAATCTCAAGCCTTTTTAACTTAATGGACTTGTAAACTTTTAACCATGGTTGTGAATCTTTTAAAGGCTAATAGTTTTAATTAAGTTTAACAACTCGTAAGTTTGTACAAATTTAGCACTTCAAGCCTAACAAATTAAAAAGTTCGATCAAGATATAGGTTTAGATTCTCAATATTAGCAACCTATAAATTTGGGTATAACTTTTTTTGTAAAAAAAAAAAAAACAAATTTGGGTATAACTCATTTATGAATATTTTCTTAATCTTAAGCTTGGCTTGGTTGAGTAATACGTGATAATCCTACCCAGTGTGAGGAGCTATATTCCTAGTTAGCTTGTTGATGATTTCCTAAATTGTAACTATATTAATTATTTATATTTATATGTAATTAGTATTCAAACATATATTAAATTAAGTATTTAGGGGTAATTTACGTGACAATTAATAGTACTCTAACATAAAAGGACATGAATAAATAAAATGTTTAATTAATAAAAAAAAATATCTTAATTCATTATATTTCTAAATTGCTATTTTGAATAGGGTTTTCAATGGATTTGATCACATTCCGATGTTACTTTAAAACTTAGATTGGACTTAATTTATATATTTAAATTGTGTTTATTATTTAAATGATTTAAATATTTTTAAATTAGTATTGAATAAAAAATAAATATTTATTAATATACATATGCAAGGAAGGTAATAAAAAAAAGACAAGTAATATAATTATTATAGATAGGTCTCATTTTGAAATTTTTTTGTTGATAATGTATCTTTGTTTATGATTATAATGAAAGTAATTTACTTGATTTAAAATTCTTTGTTCATTATATCTTTATATTGCAGGGCTATATTAAGTTAAGCAAATTAAAAATTAATTTCAAATATAATAAAAAAAATTAATTATGATGATTAAGAAATTATTGAATAATATTTATTATCATTCCATACATCTAAAATCCAAAAAAATTTGTCAATCTTATATTCAAAAGTTAATTTAAAATATAATAAAATTTGTAAATTATGACAAAAGGGAAATTAAGTGAATGGTAGTGATGTTAGAAAGGTATAACTATAAAAAGGATTCTAGGAAAAGTTGAAAGAGAAAACGGCAAATGATTACTGCCGGCTGTTAAGGTTCATTGGTGGTTACGCAACCGGCTCCAAATTGCCGTTGGGAGCGGACTACCTGTCCCCGTCTCCAAACTACCGTCGATTAAAATCCCACCCCCCTTTAAAACGAAACGTTTTAATCGTTCTTTCTTTTATTGGTACTATCCAACAAAAATAGTTGCAATATTTTACTATTAAGTAAATACACAAAATATAAAAAAACACCCAAAAAATCAAACAATCGAACGAAGAACAAGAGAAGAAGAAGAAGAAGAAGAATCTGTTGGACGATCGATCTGAGATTACCGATGGACGTGCCTAGCTCATGGGATGCGTTACGAAAACAGGTTTGCCGATTTTCGTTTTTCCTTTTTTTTTTAACCGTAGTTTTTGTTTAATTCTGTTTGGTTAACGAGAAAAACTGAGAAAATTTCGGAGGAAAAGAACTAAGATTGTATAATTCTATGAGATTGGATTGAGTTCTATTGGAATCATTCAGGAAGTTTTGGTTCTTCTTTCGGATTCTGTTTGTGGTTTGTTAGAAATATGTAAGAAACGAAATGATAATTGTCGGTGACCTAAGCGTTTAACTTTTCTTTAATTTTTTTTTTCGAATACTTGAGTTTTCTGATTCGAATCTGTTGAATTGAAATCGAAATCTGGATTCTCTAGCTACCGACGCTGATTTTTTTTTAAATTTTTTTTGGTAATTATATCGAAAAACTAATAGAGATTATGGATTTATTGCTCTTAGCAAAAAATGGAAAATTTTCAGTTCATTCCAATCAGTTGGATCTGTTAGCGCAGTTTCTAATTAGATCGTTTACAAAGATTTAGAGTTTTCCTTAACCTTGATGTTGTTATTGTTTATTTATTTATTTATTTTGAGATGTTGAGCTTGTGGTTATTATGGTGGTTTGTTTGTCTTTTATTTGCTTATCTCTTTTACTAAATGGTCCAGTCTGTGGTGCAAGTGCAACTTGGTTTCATCTCTTTTGTACCTTACAAGGAGACAATGGTCTTTTTTGGAACTTATGTTTTCTCCATGAATGGTGGTTTATCTGTGAGGAGGAAACGCCAGAAATTTCTTGTAGCCATTGTTCAAGATAAATGCTGTACAACTTTGTAAAATTACTCTTTTTATTTTTCTGGTTTTCTGTTGAGTGGTTGAAACGAAAGCCAATTTAACCGTGTGCGAATGTACCTGTGAACAACCACAATTGGGATATCCTAGTGACCCGGTAGATGACAGTGACGGCAGATAAGAGTTAGTAGTTATCTACCTGGAACTAGATAAATGGAATATCTTTGGCTAAATACTATACTTCACTTTGGATTTCCATTTCGAATTTTGCAGATGGAGGCAAAGGCTAGGTCAAGTATTAGTAGATTCCTAGTTTGCAAAATGCAAACTTCATATATTTCTTTAAGAATTTGACCCCATCCTAAAACTTAAAGGAAACATACAAATAGCTGTAGTTCTCCGTCAAACTTCTGAAGCAATTTAGAATGAACCTGCTTGAGTGGTTGTTCCACATAGAATGGCTTATCTGCCTAATTGGTTGAGGCATAAGGGCTTCTTGTGAATAGGCTTTCGTTTTACTTTCATATAGGAGAAAATGGACTTTAGTATTTCATTCCTGCATTATCTAATTTTCTGCGAGGCTGTGTAATTTATAAGATTTAGTTGCCATGTCTAGTATGAATACATTGCTGTTATACTGCTGAAAAGCTTAAATAACTAGTTCAACATTACGCTGAATGGTGTTTAATATGCATTGCTTTAATAATCATTTTACGCTTAACATTGGAAGAATATAATCTTTATACCTTGGTCATCAATATCAAACTTTGGGAAAAAAGGTGCTTAAGAAAAATAGAGTTGGAAGCTCTTTTTGTAGTGTTTCTGTCAACCTTTTCAAACTCTTTCTCATTAAATCCCACTTTTCATTTAAACTTTCAAATTCTAGTTGCAAGTAATTTGGTATGCCATAAATGTAAGACATCAGGATTATGCCATTGAGACTACCTTTTTTGGCAGTAAGAACTTTTTTCTTTACCCAAAAAAACATTAAATTTATCCTGAAATGGTCAACAGATGATTCTGTTAGTTGTTCTGGCTACAAATATCTATTCTTGTAATGAATCTCTTTGTTTCACTATTATTTCAGGCAAGGAAACTTGAAGCTCAGTTGGATGAGCAGATGAATTCATATCGTAAGTTGGTCTCCACTAAGGTTTCAACAAAGGTTGACTCAGAAGAGAATGATCTTGAATCTGGTATAGACCGACTACTAAAACAGCTCCAACAAGTAAATATGCAAATGCAAGACTGGGTATCATCTGGTGGATCTGAAATGGTTTCTCATACCTTGACTCGGCATCAGGAAATTCTTCAAGATCTCACTCAGGTACTGTGGTTTCTAAATTATTGTTTGTTTATCTTTCTCCACCAACAATCTTCTTCCTTTCTTATCCTTTTTTCTGTTTTTGGTCTTTGTTATACCTGTAATACTAGTTTTTCACCCTTGTTTCTCCTCTCTTTGATTTAAAGCAAAAACAACAGTGGCTTCGTGGCTCCCTTTTTGTTTGAAAAGTAACAATAAAGCAACAAATGATTAAGAGCCTTTATAATGAATTCATATGCCTATATCTCGTTATCATGGAGATATCCAAAGTATACGTTGTTTCTACTACCCCTTTTTTTTACCCAGCATATTAGTTTTAGTTTTATTGAAATCTTCATGATTCTGTAGGCAGTTGCAGGCTTGCAGCTTTCCTTATACACCTCCTTTTCGCCCCTCCATGGAATATATTTGCTATAAAATTTTTAACATGATTTACTGAGAGTGGACCAATCAGGAACTAACTTGATCTTCGACCTGATTGAAGTGCAGGAGTTCTATCGTCTCCGCTCTAGTCTTAGAGCTAAGCAAGAACATGCTTCACTCCTCGAGGATTTTAGGGAGTTCGATCGGACTAGATTAGACTTGGAAGAAGGTGTTGGTTCCACAGAACAGGCTCTACTTAAGGAGCATGCAGCCATTAGCCGGGGTACAGGACAGGTATGTAAGGTTAATAGTGGTTGACAATGTATAGTAATGTAAGTATGATGGTATTACTCAATCCCTTTTATGTAAATGCCTTAATTTCAGTTGTTGGGAACTTAGAGTTAATGATTAGTTAATTAATAATGAGATTGAGTGAAGAATGGAGCAAATAAATTAAAAGAACTCTCAATCACATTATGGATTTTATAGTGGGTGTTTAATGTGGTATGGATTTCCCATCATCTTCTCATTTGTTATAGCCATTCATTCCTTTCACTTCATTTTGGTAGTTAAGGTCTAAAAAGAACAGTCTAGAGCTGGTTGCAGGTCTGAAACAGTGCTGGCAACTTATAGAATAGGAATGAAGAAGATGGAATGTCTACTGGATTGGATTTCCTTAAATATCATGGTTAAGTTGATCGTAGACACTCTGACAAAAGTTTCTCAAATCTTTGAGAATTTGATATTTGCTAGTATTTATTGTTTCCAATTTTGGATGTGTAATCACATTTAATTACTTAGTGGATTTCATGTTAAAAGCTGAATGACATATATTAATTAACGACTTACTGAATACTTGACTATTCTTGGCCAAGAATATTAAAAGTTGCTGATCTACCTTGACTCTTGAAAACTAATGAAAGTACAGGTGCTGGAATAAACTTGTTCACTTACTAACATAGAGAAGGTAAAATCATAACTTGGTATTGCCTAATTAAGACTAATTAGGCTTTAAATTTAACGAGGTCCTAATTTTTTTATTGTCAGACTAATATTTGGTTTTGAGAAGCAATTAGGCACATTCAAGTGGCCTTCACTTGTTTGCACAATAATGATAAAAACTCTTTTGCTATGTGTTTCTAGGCCAACTGTTTCTCTTTTGTGTGTTTCAAAGTTATTTTTTGATTTGTTTCTGCGAGATGTATGAATTGTTCCTACCATCTTGGTTGATTTCAAGATTGATATATAATTTACTAGTGATGTCCTTGACTTGTTGTAAAGAAACATTTGAGGATGGTGGCAGTCTTGGAGTGTTTTTATTATTTCTGGGTCCAACAGTATTGGAATGTATGCTTCTACCAAAAGCAGCTTGATCAAACTTCATTGTTGTTGGTAATTGTCCTCTGTCGTAAAAGGAAAACCTTAATTATTGTTGGGATACCAAATAATTTGCAGAACCTCATATGCTAGAATGCACTTTTTGTTAAACTGATTTTCTCTCGTGTGAAATATGTTCTTAAGCAGCTATTTTTAGGATAGTTTCTCTGTATAATCAGATGATTTTGGATCTCGCTTAAACTTTAATTTTCAGCTATTGCTCTTTGTTCTTATGAAGCTGTATTCTGGTTTTGCAGATGGATAGTGTGATTTCACAGGCGCAAGCAACTCTTGGTGCACTTGTCCTTCAACGTTCAACTTTTGGGGGGGTTAATTCAAAGCTAAGCAATGTCGGCAGCCGCCTTCCAACGGTATGAATACTTGTTAATCTTGTTAGTTATGTTTCAACTTGCAGACATTTATTGCATAATCCTATGATTTAGTTGTCCCACATACTATTCCTCTATGATTTGCACAGCATATGAACTTTGAAGAAGAGTGAGGTGGCTGAGAAAATAGACTAGTTAATGAAAGAATGGAACCTGTGTAAGAAATTGTCATAACTCATAAATGCTATCATATAGTACTAGTTTTGCACCTTTGAGATATTTAGTTTGCCCTGGCATAAATAGCCAGACCGAATCTATTGTGAACTAAGATATATCATTTTGAGGACAGCATAAAACTGAATGGAGAACTTTTTTGGTCATCATAGAGAAATTTACCCCACAGCTTGTATTGACATCTCTATCTGCTGGTTTTAAACCGTTTCCAGAAATTTTGACCAATGCGCTATCATGTTGTAATAATGCACAGATAAATCATATTCTGTCAGCAATAAAGAGGAAAAAGTCTATGGATACCATCATTCTTTCCCTTGTTGCATCTGTATGCACATTTCTTATCTTCATCTATTGGTTGAGCAAGTGAGGATGTATATTGTGTCGGTGGCCAATGATTGTGGTGAAACAGGCTTGAGTCCTTAGATTTGATGCTCTGTATGGAGCTAAAGAAGGGGGTTTTGTTATGTTTTGTTGTAACTTGATGGTGACATCTCAAGTGGGTTATAATTACCTTCATTTTGTGTAGCAACTATGGTTTCCCAGTAAAGGTAAAGTTCAACATTAAGGTATATGTAATATATATTTTATTTTTGGGTATCGTCCATCTAAAACCAGTAAGCTGCAAATAAAAGATTGATTCATTGCTTCTGTACTTGGTCTAAAGTGGGCTCTAATCAATCAATCAATCAATCAATCACAAAAAATAGCTAGAATTGGAAGACATGGGTAAAAGGATGGTGTTCCTGCTTCATGAGTCAGCTGTCCGAGCCCCGACCTCTCAAACAAAGTTTACCTGTGGCAGGCTCTCTCGTATCTCCGACTTGCCCCAGAGCATTTTATTGCATCAAAGTGTCGGTCATTTGGTATATATATATATATATGTAGAAGATGAGTCTGGGTATGGTCAAAATATGGGTTAATTAGTTGGAAGAAAGCAAAGCCATGTATTGAGTTTAGGAAAGACTGGGCTGTTTTGCAAAATCTGAATGTAAAACACAAGGAAGATTGATTACAAATGCAAAATCAAAATTGAATGGTAAAACACCCTATCTTTGCTTGCACTCTAACCATTCCTTCCTTCCTTCCTTCCTTCACTCCTCTGACATCATGATGCAACCAACCAATACTCTTTATCTCATTTGGCAGTCAAGACGAGGAAAGCTTAAAACCCAATATTCCTTTCTTTCATTAACAACATCAATGCTATAATTGACTCTCTCTCCTTTTCTTCCCTCAATGTGGATAAATCTGCTTCACCATCTTCCACTACAGTAAAGAAAGCAAAACCCCAAAGGAAAAACCCTGCTACATACGTGAGCACAAGAAGATTTTTGTTGATACAATTCATAGGTCAAATATCAACGCTTGTAATCATGTGGTTTAGAGTTACATGGAAAGCCTAAAGTTGGATTCAACAGAGTTTGGCACATATGCAGAGTATATTTATATTTATATATTTATATTAGTCTTTCAGCATGTGCATGGAATCCAATGTATTATAATGAGTAAAGGAAAGGCTATCGCCGCTCTATGTGTACATATATATATATATATATATATGTGTGTGTGTGTGTGTGTGTGTGGGGGGGGGGGGGGGGGAAAAGTATCGTTTTGTTACCCTTTTATGTGGTCATTGGAACATGCTTTTGCTAAAGCTGATGGGGATATCAGATGTTACATTTGCGTTGACAAAAAACCAAACAAAAGGAGCGCACACTTTCACGTGTGGCGTTGAGCACTAGTCACATCTCATTTTTAATATTTCTCTTTTGTTTTTTCGCAGATTAAATCAATTACGAAATGTCCTTTACCTAAATGGATAGTTTTTATTATAAGTTCCACACTGAATTCAATAAAAATGATTAAGAAATATGCTTTATTAATTGTTTTTCTTTTTCATTGATACATTTGAGTTAAAAGATGATCCTATTGATGTTATAAATTGCATAGGGATGTAAATGGTTTATTATTATATGGATATCTATGGATATCTAATCTAATAACATAAATTAATGTACTTTATATTCAGTTATGGAACGGATTAATATAAGATTTTAAAACCCGACATTGATTCAAGTAAGTTTCGAGTATCACTTTTAAGGTATCTTAAACTCAAACCCGATTATATATAATATTACAAAAATTTTAGATTTTGTGAGAATCTGGATCTTACCTTGCCTTACTAGCAGGGATTGAATTCATTTGAGGATGAGAAACACTCTAAATCTTTGCTAATTTTGCCAACTTAAGCAAGTACTTAATAAATTTGAATACTTAACAAATAATTCTTTGTTATTAAAATTTAGTTTTGGATAGTGTTTTGTAATTTTATACGAATTTTACTCGAATTTGGATATCTTGATAATTAGACGGTTTTGGATTGATACCTCAAAAATAACGAGTATCAGTAGCCTACCCATTGACATCTTTAAAATAGCATCACTTTTATGTTAAGATTTTTCTCAAGATATTATTATTATTATTATTATTATTATTTACACTAAAAATATAAAAAAAAAAGGGCTTTATTTTTTAATCCTTTTCACCCAAAGGTCTTGAATATAAACAGTATTCATGTGTTGGATAGTTCTTAGATAATGACTAGTGAGCAAGACCTAACATGGCAACAAAAGTAAAAGTTGAATTAAAGAGTTGAGAATTGAAACTATTAAGAATGTGAATGGAGGAAGAAAACAATAGGAGAGGAGATGGGAAGAGGAATAGTACTCAAAAGGTGTCACGTTGAGCAGACAAGAGCCCGACCAGAAATTAGATCAAATAATAAAGGAGAGCAAATGAAAGCCTGCAGGCAGGCTATGGTTCAGGTAGAGGACAAGCAATTAACACCCACGATGTGTGTCATTTCCCACGTTGCTTTTCAATGACTCATGTGTTACTAGGAAATGTCTTCATCCCTTGTCGTGAAAATTAATATTGTCAGATTCTTTTTCTCTTTTTTGATGGTGAGGTTTTGGAAAATGGGTAATGGATCTTTGATTATTTCGAATTAATCATTGAAAATAGGTCTAATGGAAGTGCCTAGGATCTCATCCCCCTAGGGCACCAATCAAAAACACTGCTGCTGGCCTCCATGGAATTAATGTTTACATGATTTGGTCTACCTCCTAAGTTTACTCATTCAAATATTTGATATGAATACCAATAAATATAAGAGAGAGATAGGAGGGATACAAAGAAGAGGAGAGACCTCCAACCTTAAGCTTTAAATTTCATAAAAAAAAAAAAACAGAGAATCATTATATTAAATCTGAATTGTATATAAGCATATGCTATTGTAGTATATGCTATTGTATACAAGATTTTTTTCCCCCAATAGGTTGATAAGGAAGGTTGAAGCTAGTCAAGGACTATATTCAATGCTAGGGCCATACACTAATGAGATATGTGTTGTACTCTTGGCTATTGATGCTCATTTAGAAAACTAATTTCAGGGGCATAAAGGTAATCTCCTAGAAATACCAAGAATTGTCGTTGCAAATTGGTTCATACCTATTAGTACACCTTACTTAATCTAAGCATACGTCACAACTAAATAAGTTGAAACTCATTTCCACTATTACAAGCTTCAAATCTTGTTAGGTATCTGACTCAAATTCTAATTGAGAATCAATTTAGATCCGGGAGCTTGGTGATTAAATTTATTTAAAGGATAAATATACTTAATAGATAAGAGTTTTTAGTAGTTAAGATTTTTTAATGAACATGTAATAGGGTTCTACAAATACAGAGGAGGTCTTAGCCTTTAGAATTATGAGAGAGATGTAATCTTTTTGTAACCTTTATGTCAGAGATGAGTTTTGTGACAATCCGATCTTGGTTGGTGGCTACATCAATATTCCTAGACTTCTATATAGTATAGAAATAAAACATGCCTGAAGAGTATTTAACAAACCATACTATTTGAGCTTGAAACCATGCGATTTTGTTTGGAAATATAAAACTATTCATGCACATGCTCAAAATCGACTATATCTTATTTATAAACCTTTGATACATTCATATTATGAAGAACCAAAGTTCTTAAGTCACAAATCACATGAAAGCACTTTTTTGTTAAAAACATGAGGATAGTATCAATATACAAACAAAAAAAAAAAGAACAAGTCTAGAGATTTCATTCAAAAATTTATATACCTTGGTGATTTTCTCAGTTCAAAATTTCACCGCAACTTAATCCAATCACACAACTCAATAAATATTTCAATTCCAGTACATTCAAATAATTGTAAAGTAATGAAAAGTTTATAGCAATATATATCTAAATAGTTCCAAGCATCATGATCAAAATTTAATACAGTTGTGGAGCAACTTAAGAAGTACAAAATACTAACATATCACACATGATGGGTGGCTAACCCATATAATCAGTACACTTCGACCTACTGACTCCAATATCACTTGTGCCATCCTTCGGCCACAAGGTTAGCACCATTTACCCCACTTCCCTTTGCTAGTTAGGGTGGTCTTATTGTGCACAATAGCAAAACTGCTGTTATCCCAAGTCCTCACTTAAGTGCTCCACATTAAAAATATTTTCCCAAATATTCCATATCCAACATGAGCAAAGAGAAAATAATCATACCACACATAATATTTCATATAACAAATTGATCATAGCACCTTATATGGTGTTAACATTTAATAACTTTCAAACTAGTTATTAACACTTCTAAAATAAATATAGTTGAAGCTAAAAGATACAATACAAAAGGCTCATCTCCCATGCACATTTTTTAAAATATTGATCATAATATCATCAAATACATTGCATGCATTTGTCAAAAACAATTTAAATGCATGTCTGTCACCTTTTATGCTACCTTACCAAAGCTAACACCAACTAGCTTAGTTTCCTTAACTTGAACTTTGGAACTTAAAGAGAGCCTAACAATTTAACACATAAAAATCAACCCTAAATCAATATATATTTTTTAAATTATAACTAATAATCCAACACCCCTAAGACATCAATCCAAGTTGAGTCTTGAAGTATCAATTGAACTTATAATTGCCAATAAATAATAATAATCCCAAATATATCATAAAAATTTGAAACTAATAATTATACTCTGGCTGAATTACATCCTAACCTAACATTTAATCTACAATCCTAGTCTAATTCACTAAGCCATAAAACTAACTACTCAAATTTAAGGTTTTCTTGCCTTGGTGAGTTTGAAGGTGTAAAAATCTACAAAACCTCAATGAATTGATCTTGAAGTTGAAAGCAAACTAAAAACTAAACCTTTACCTAGCTTTAAACTTAAAATTGAAGAACACATACTCATGGTTTTTTTTTGACAAGAAAAATGAAAAAGAGAAAATGATGGAAGCTATGACAGTATGATGAAACAAAAAAGATGGAGAACAAAGTAAAAAATGTAGAACTTGGAGGAAACAAGGGAAAATTTGGTCAATGTAAGAAAAAGAAAGAAAAAGCAAAGTTTTTTAATGAAGCTCAGAGATATTTTTAAAGAAAGATCTAGATTCCTTGCAAGCTTTATTTTTATCAAAATAATTCATGATTTTACTTCCATCAAAATAATACATTGTATTACTTTCATCTAAATAATGCATTATTTATATTATTTGATGCAAAGTTCGACCTTGACACAAACAAAAAAAAA